GGACAGAGATTGGGCAAAGTGCCTGCGAGAACGTATGAGACACAGAGAGGCAGAGGGATTCCTAATTAGTGGTCTCTGCTGGACATGAGAAACCTGCAGAAGCACTTTAAAAACCTTCACCCCTGCAGGACTCATACATTCGTACACATGCACAATACTGCCCCCAACCCTCCCCCCCTCCTTGACTAGTTCTCTTAATTGGTTGGATTGTGTTGGTGTATTTGGCGGTAGCTTGACGAAAGAGGGATGTCTTTTGTGTGATGCTCTTGAGAACCTGTGATTGGCAGCTGGGACAGGAAGTGAGAGCGTGGTGCCTTTCCCAGAGTACATGCCTCTCCACCTCTCTAAATTCCTCTCATCCTCCACTGTGCTTTTGCTCTCACTTTCTCCCCTCTCTGCATCTTCCTGTCCACTTATATCCATTTACATTGAGCATCACTCAGAGCTTATTTTCAGGACATTCACACAGGCTTTTTGTCACCCCCTCCTTGCCCTTGTCATTTCCTGAGAAGAAAAAGATTATGTTACTCTCTGCACTCAAGCAGCGGAGGTACACTGCCAAACAAATGCTCCCACAACTGTGACAATGAAATGAAGTGATTGAGAATCTACTTATGCTCTATTAGCTTACAACAGCGCTATGTAGACTGAACCATGTTGCATATCTTGGAAGGTTTACTATTGTTATAATACTGACAATACCAAATTGAAAATGTCTTTTAAAATTTACTAGGGGATCTATACATGTTTTGATCCTCCTGCTTAACCCTCTCAGACTCAACTTAATTTGTAGTTGCAGGACAAATCTGATATTTGGAGAAAATGATCATATGGGGTAGTAATATACAATTCAGACTTTTTTTGAGAGAGACCTTCACATGCAATGAATTCTGGGATGTTGCAGAATTGCAACAGTGGCCCGGAGTGGTAAATTAACACTGAAGACTGAATCTGAACGTTAACTTTATTTGAATGTCACAAACAAAAAATTAACAAAATTCAGGACAAAAAAATGTCTCTCACAAAATTAGAGACAACTTTTTCTCTAACTTTTTTCTACACCGACATCTCAAAACCTCTTGAGAAGGCGTTTCTGTTAAACTGTTGCTCAAAATATATGCAAACTAGTAGATAGCGCATGTAGCATCCATTGGTACATGTTTGGGCACATGTTGCGAATCCACAACATTGAAATCGAGATGCCTCTGGTGAAAGACCCAGAGCAGATAAAATCTACTAATTGGCATGTGTCATATCTATACACATTCATGATTCATCTTATGTAGTATTGATTTCAAAATAATGGAAATTGGTAGTGATACTTACATGAAATTGGTGCTTAGACAATCTGTTTCAGTGACACCAAGGACTCAGCCATGTTGAAAGAGAGTCAGCAGTGTCATCTGGTGAGCAAATGCACAACTAAGTCCTTCTGTTGAACTTCTGAGTAACAAAAGCTCTTAAAATATGGATGTGGAGTAATTAGCTATGTATCCTTTAGCTGTTGAAAATCTGCAACATCTGCCTGGAAAGGGTTAAAGATAAATTGTATCTACTCCAGTTATAAAATTTGGAAACTCTGCAAGACATTGTTGAGAAGATATTAAAGAGTAGATATGTTTTCGAGTAACAAAGACAAAAATTGTGAAACTTTGAGAGAAATCAACGGCAAATGTTATAAAGCAGATAACTCACTATAGGCTATGAAATAATTTCCTTTCCTGTTCTCAGGAAAGGAAATGATTGCTTTTGACGTCATTGCGTCCTCTACTGCGAATGTGGGACACTTGAGTTGTATGAATGCAGTTCATACAAGAGATCACATACAAGTTGCATACATTTGGAAATGTGAACAGCAACACATAAAAATCGGAATTGAGCATTAAGCCCTGCAATGTGAACGTAGCCTATGTCAGGAGACTAGGCACTTTACAGTCATTCACCAATTCACACACAAACAATGATGATGGCAAGCTACATTGTGCAGACTGTGGTGATCGAACCGGGTATGTGCAACCTTCACAGAGCATAAGCACACTGCTCTAACCACTACTCCTCTAGACTCCCCTGGATGACTAAACTTTCTGATTTTGAAAGCACATAAAAAATAAGTTAATATCTTTGGACTTTAGCTTCCAAAGACATTAACTTTCATAGACGTTTCATAACCTTGGTGTTATTTTTGATCAGGACTTGTCTCTTAAATCACATATCAGAGTTATGTTGTGGTATCAGTGATACCCCCACCCCATCACAGAGGAACAAAGTACCTCCTCTCTTCAGCCAGGTGAACAATCCCCCCTTTAATGACCGACCCTTCACAATCTTAGACAGGTTTCAAATATTACAGGCTAACAATGGAACCAAAAGACCCGCTCGCTGGCTTGAATTTGCATGTTTCCAGGCAATACAAGACCTTGTCTATATAAAGCCTCAAACTCACTGTGAATCCAGACAGTTGAATTGAGAAAGCTTCCTGTAGGGGAAGCGAAATGTCTTCAAACCTTGGAAACCAAGTCCAGTGGATTGTTTTTAAACTTTTACGGAACACATATCAGAAAGGATTCTAGAATTTCTTGTTATTTATTATTTCAATCTCCAGAATATTGCAAAAATGTGTAATATCTATCTGTACAGAGATGATGCAGAAAAACTAGTCCATACATAAATACATACAGAGTCGCCTATAAAGCAAGTTTTCCATTACCTTTTCTATCAGAAAGTATTTATAGATCAGTGCTTCTATGTTCCTCTTGTTTGTCTGCTTCTGTTGTCTTGAAACCCTGTTTGACCTCGGCAGAGGTTATAGTAACACCAGCTAATTCAGCCATTTTGTGTAAGAAATGCTCCCTCAAGGTACTTTTTTATGCAAAACGCAGTCTACAATCTATGAATTGAAAAGCTACTGACAGAATAATGCTTTTGTGTTGCTTGAGGAAGAGTTTCTCTGTGAGGCTACTATACCTGAGGCACCCCACCAAAGACAGTCCAGTGAGAGTAACAAAAACACAACAGTGGAAAAGAAGTCTGCCTTTGTAACTAGGAGTTAAGGAGGGATTTCACTTCTTCAGTCCTTGAATGTTGTTGTTTCTTTCATTTACATTTAAAAGCAAAACTGGGCTACTGCAAACCTGTCCATAAAAATCACCTGACAAGACAATCCATCGTGGATCCGACAGGTAACAACTTAAAGAACATAGTAATCAGTCATTGACAGCAATACATTTACAGTAAAAGCTGTCAGTCTGTCCCTGTCAAGGTGTAATCATTCCAGACTCTTAAGCTACATTGACAGCTGACTGAAGAAAGAAGTGTTACACATCTTTAAAAATTAAAATTATTACCAGCAAGATCACACCAGAGTTTTGTTTGCACTATTCCATGATATCTTAGTTAAGAGATGTATAGATTTCTATAGCACTTCAATTTCCAAATGAAAAGTAATATACATTTGTTCTCCACTGTTCCTATACTAACGTCAGCTTGGATCCTGCTGTTGCAGATTGAGATTAAGTATAGGTTTCCATGTTAACACAGAATCCTGCATGCTTTTGTTGTGTTAACATTTTTTGTTTCACATTACTGCGAGAAATTTTAAAAACAAACCTAAATACTATACTTTAAAAGCTCATTTGCTTTGTTAAGACACCGTATTGAGTATTATTAAAAGCAATAATCTTAGTTGTACGTGTCATTCCAAACATTGTAAATAACTTGCAACTCCCTGCATGCTGGATTAATATATATGTGCCAAAAAGTGATTGATGATTTAAGAGTTGTTAGAGTTTGTTTTGTAAAGTCATCTTTAAACAGTACCTTACATGTGGTGGGAAGACAATGTTTGTTTGTAGAAAAGACAAAGTCCTCCATGCAAAGGAATAATCAATGCATAATTGTAGCAAATCATAGACCTTATTATGAATTTATGTTTATTGACCCGATCTGTTGTAAATCATAAATGGGATGACATCGATGTCTCTGAAACACTTTATATCTCTAAACATCACATTGGTGCCTTTACTAAGGGTTTGGCCCCATAGAGTTGATAAATAATTCTAACCTGCTGTGGCTTTCCGCCCTTCCTTCATTCCTATGACCTATGTCTACTATAATAATAGAACTTTATTCTCACATTGGAGAAATTCCCCTCTGCATTTAACCCAAACCCCTGTGGAGCAGTGGGCTGCCACTGTGCAGCACCTGGGGTGCAGTGTGAGATTAAAGGTCTTGCTCAGGACCCAGAGTGGCAGTCTGTGGGAGTGGGGCTTGAACTCAGATCCTCTGGGGGCCAAGCATAATGCCCTAACCACTATGCCACCACACCACCATATTATCATTATTACACATATTATTACACAATGTTACTATTGAGCATTCTTATGGCAGAAGCTTGTTAACACAAACTCACACATACATACTCAGATGCTTCTAGACACTTGATATACAGATAAAAGCTATTGTATCTAGATCGGCAGTTGCCACGAAAATACAAATTTGTATCAAACAGTAGGCCTACTGCGGGATTTCATCAAGATTGATATATATGAATTTCTTGTTGCCATATTTCTTTTCACCTTGTGTGCCTCTGTGCAAGCGAAAAATTAAGCAAATACATTGCTTAATTTTTAAAAATAACAAAATAAAGAATGAAAAACGTTGGAGCCATACTATAAAAGCTCTATTCAGGTCTACAAATGAATAAATATATATATATATATATATATATATATATATATATAAAATTTGAAAATCATATCTGTTAAAATGATCTGAATAAAACAATCCATAAATAAAACTGTTTATCTTTTCGACCCCTTGATCATCTCACAGCAATTCTCATTATAATTTTGTCAATGCAATAGAGCCGCTATCCAAACAGAGAATTCATCCCGAACACAAATCCATGTTTACGTTTAGTTAAATTGGACCTTAATGCTGCCAACAGAATTTATGTTTTGAAAAAAAATTGGTTCGACAAAAATAAAGAATAATGAATCAGCTTTCCACATTCACATTTTATTTCCAGATACTTTCATGTTCACCTTCAGTTTTATGCCACACAACTTAAAATAGGCTATTTCTGCTCCTTGACAAACCAACAAATAGTACAGCCTACAAAGTGTAAACATTAAATGTTCCAAAAATAAAATAAAATAGCACACAGTTTTATATGAGAAGGAAATTAACTCACGCACATCGTTCTGGGTTTTTAAAATAGAGGAAAATGTGAGAAGTAAATGAAGTCCAAAGAACAGAGAAAGAGGAAAGGATTAGAACAGACAGAAAATTAAAAAGACATGAGGAAAGCAGCAGTTTAGATAGAAGCACATTTTTAGGAGCTAGGCTGAATAAAGGAATAAATCAAAAATAATAAGCAAACAAATTTAAAATTCATACACCAGAAATTATCCTTACAAACATGCAGGGTGCATATTAAGGACTTAATAAATTAAAATAATTAAAATAAAAAAACAACAAGCCATGCACCATCTGTACAACTAAAGGAAACATCTATATAAACTCTGAAATTCTTTTTCCCACTCTTAATATGAAGCACCCTCCATTTCCATTGAAAAGAATCTACAAATCAGCAAAAACTACAAGTGAAAAAATGATAAAAATGAGGCAAATTTCCAGTCTATTTTTTTTAAACATCACAGTAATGTGAGAATCAGCTTTTACTGGGCTCAGAAAACTTCAGAAGTGATCATATGTAACAGATAGAGCAAGTTTTACACTCAAGTTTGTTCTTTGTCTCAAGTGTTTTACTATTTGTAGAAACAGTGCAAAGACAGGTTTTTTTTTTTTTTGGTTTGGTTTCCGGAGCTCATGCTTATTTGCCATAGTGCGTTAGAATACAGTGAAATATTAAAACATAACACTGACGGTATACATTCAGTCTTAACATCTAACAGCTGTGCGTGTTTGAACCTGTGTTGATATCTGAACCGTAAATCTGTTATTAGGTCCTTTTTTATAGTGAAGTGAAAGCTTTACATTCATGTGATATAGATTAAATTTGGGATACATGTGATCTACGGGGTAGGGAAGAGCTAAAGGTGAGTTTAATGCAGGAAACACAAGAACAGCTTATGTTTCTTGAAGAAGGCAGACTGGTTGTTCTCTCACTAAGTGTTTCGTCAAAATACTGCAGGTGAGATGGGTCGCTCTGCTTATTTACATGTGAATCTCAGGGACTGTACAGTGTTGAAGTTAAGAAGGATTTTAGTTTGGTGCAGAGAAGGTGAAAACATTCAGTGAATCCACCCTTATTGTTGTAACTACTCATTACTGGTCTATCTGAAGAGAAAGGCAGATGGTGTACGCACCTTCAGGAGCAATAAGCTGCTAACAGTGGCCTAACGCTAATCCAGCCCACAGTTCAGGTGGGATTAAACTTTTTATCCAAGAGACAAAGAAGGAGCTGAGGCAATTTTCTGTTTATAGAATAAAATTTTTTTTTAAACTTTTAACCATAATCCAAGCTCTAATTATAAGCTCAGACCACCCCATATGAAGGAGATTAGCACTAGTCCCTGTGATTATTTTCAGAGTCTGACAGCTGATCAAAATTCTCTTGGACGTCGCCACAGAAATCGCTTTCAGGCTCTGCATCGTCATCATTGCTTTCCGCGCTGTAGTCAATCTCCTCCAGAAAGGATGGCTCATCCTCCTCCAACACATAGGTAGTTGTGCAGCTGCTGTAAATACAAGAGCGACAAAAAATAAATAAAAATCAGTGTCACATAATGCAATTTTTGTTATTTAGAGAAGAAAAATACTATAATATTCGGTTAGAAATCTACAAATTAATTTAAATGAAAGTGTAGCAATTACTGTTACTGACAGCAGAATCATTTGTCTAACAAGGAATTGAAAAATGTTTTCTTCATGGGCCAATATGAGATTCTCACAGTAAGATAACTTAGTGAGAAATCAAACACACACAAAAGCCATTTTCAGGCAATTATGCAGTCACAAAAATTTCCAAATGAAAATTTCAATCATAATCTTAAAACTTGATTTATTTACAGAAAACCAACAATTTTTTATGCAACTGTATAAAAAAATCTCCTCTTTCTCAGGATCATTGAGACCGAACAAGCTGAGATCTTGCATGGAGCCCCAGTCCAAGGGAGATTAACAGTCATGTTTAGCTTCTTCCATTTTTTGATGATTGCTTCAACAGTGGAACTTTTTTAACCAATCTGCTTGCCAATTTCCCCATAGCCATTTCCAGCCTTGTGGAGGTTTACAATTTTGTCTCTAGTGTCTTTTGACAGCTCCTTTCTTTGTTCTTGGCCATGTTAGTAGTTGGATTCTTACTGGTTGTATTGGGTGGACAAGTGTCTTTAAGCAGTTAATGACCTCAAACAGGCACATCTAATTTAGGATAATAAATGGAGTGGAGGTGGACCTTTTGAAGGCAGACTAACAGGTTTTTTAGGGTCAGAATTCTAGCTGATAGATAGGTGTTCAAATACTTATTTCCAGCTGTATCAAACAAATAAATAGTTTTAAAAAAATCATATATTGTGATTTCTGTAAAAAAAAATTTAGATTATGTCTCTCACAGTGGGCACACCTACGATGACAATTTCAGACCTCAACATGATTTCTAAGTAGGAGAACTTGCAAAATAGCACAGTGTTCAAATATTAATTTTCCTCACTGAATAACAATACCTTTATTAGGCCAGATATACACTGACACAGCTAACGGACCCATGTTAAAACGTCCCAACCAAGGCTAAATTGGTTAATTTGATTAATTGTGACCACTTCATTATAAAAAGGATCAATATTTCATTTATATATATATATATATATATATATACATATATACATATATATATATATATATAAACACATAATGGTGTGTGTGTGTTCTTTTTGTGTGCCTTTTCCTCATCAATGTGAAAAAGAACAAAAAACTGTGTATAAAAGGTCAAGTTCCTTCATGCATTGGTTGTTTCATGGTACCGAAGGAACCAGAATTTTATTAAATACTGAACCCACCATTGCATTATTAGGATGAACTAAAAACTTACAGGAAAGTGACATAATTAGGAACATTTACCATACTTCAAAAGGAAAGCTTTTGGTTCTTAAAACTATTATCTTCCTGAGATCATGGGAATGCATGTTTTTCAGTGTTCATTTTTCATCCCTCTCACCTTGAGTAGCCAACTGAAAAACATATAAGTGACTTACAGATAATTAAAATGGATTTTTATGTTAATCGAGCCGTTGCTTCAGAACACCTGCATGTTTTTAAACCTAAATTCTTCTAGGGTTAACATTAGAAACCAAAAGAACAAATTTACTTACTTATTAAATTATAACAAAACTCATGTTGCTACCAAACAGTGCTTGTAAGCTCCCGCCAGTGAGGCTGTTTTTTTCCTATGGGTCCTAATGGTTAAATGGTTGCTGGTTCTTTGAGGTTTTAGTGGCTTTAGTGGGTTTTTAATGGTGTTAATGGTCTGAAATGTGATCCTAGGGAGACAGTCGATCATGTGGAGTGGGGGGGGGGATATAGACAATGAGCTCCCCTCAGTGAGAGCAAGAGACAGACAAAGATACAGAGAAACTGTGCGTCAGTAAATGTACCGTAAGTGTGTAATGACAGACAGAATTTTATCGATTCGGATTGCAGAAGTTGTGCATCAACCATTACAGGCCATTATAATAGGAAAAAAAAACATCTCCAATGACTATTCAGCATTTATCATATAAAGATACTCTATAAACCATACAAGTACAACTTAAACTTTATCCCCTTGTAAAAAACCATTAGTTATTTAAACATCATAAAAATGAGAAATAAATCCCCCTCATTTAGGGACACCAGCTAGAGCTCTAAACAGATAAAAACATTGTTAAGTGCTACTATAGAGAGACCTACATGTATAACCATAAATCAAGGATGAGAGCAACCAATCCCAAAGGGTACACATGCAAACACCATCGGAGTCCCTTAATGATCAGCCACATAAATGATAAATGAATATATTAATATGAGTAGAGTAAGTTACTAAGAACGAAGCAAAGGAACGACAAGCAAAGGAGAAATTGAAATTGAGGTTTGGGGTATAAATGTATTTTTCTAAATATGTGTTGCAGATCTAAAAAGAAAAAATGCTGAAGTCTACATGTAAAGAGAAGTAAAGATAACCTTAACTGTTTTAGCCTGTGTTAAAAAAAAATGGTAATATATGAATGGCCACGTTGAATAAAGAACAATGTGGACACAGATTATTATGTGACTGGTAACTGAACGGTGTGTCAGGTCCAATGTTTTAGTTATTTTTTTGTTTTCCTCTATTCAAGTGTTGATTCACTCCCTAATAGATATTTGGAAGAATATGGAACAATAAAAGATGGTTAAAAAAAAAATTAGGAAAATAATTGCATTTAAATAAGACTTTTTAGATTAGGCATAGCAATCAAATGTCAGGCTGTCCTATCATTCACTGCTATTTTTTACTGTATGAAAACAAATTCATTAAAATTGAGAAATACTTTCTTTATAACAAAGGAAAATTAAACATAGATGCACATCACTTTGGACAGAGAGGATCTCCTGTAGAGATCTGTCTTACAGCAGATCGGTGCTGATGTTTGACCACCTAAAGTAGAGGATGTTCAAGGCTCTTCACAATCTTTCATTTCATGAAGAATCATTACTATACTCTTAACAGAGCTTTCACAGGACTCTACAGAACAAGCCCAGACTTCTTTAATGGCTAGTTGAACTTTAAGTCATTGACTCTATAACTGGGTAGAATTAATATAATTAGGGCTGCAAACAACTTTATTTTGTAAATCAATTAATCTGTCAATTATTTTTTCGATTAATTGATTCATATTTGGGTAGTCAAAAGCCCTGTGTAAACTAATTTCTGAAAACCGATCCGTGCAGAGTTCGGACCGAGCTTTGATCAGTTAAACGTGCCGATCTCGGTTCTTTGCGACATTTTACACATCGCATGATTCCTTGTCTTCTAGTGATGATCTACTGCTCTCTAGAGGGAAAACAAGCAAATCTGCATGGCGTAACCATAACATTCAGGAAGTTTGGTTATAATTGTGATATCTCGCTGTTTGCGGAGAGTCAGGCGAAGAAAGCAGTCTTTGGTAAGGTTACTTGACAGAGTCGGCTTTTGGGAAGTGGATACGACAAACGATAGTCTAATCAGGGCTTACAGAAGCAAGAAACAATGACAGACTTTTAGGTTTCTCACACTGCTAAGCAGGATCATCATTGGAAATCGTGCGGCATGTTAGAGAAGTTGGTATTTTTATGAATGTCTTACTGTAAGAAGAGGAGGTGGTCTGCTCATGCACTCTTTGTTATCTGAGGCCTGAACCTGAACTGAACCGAGTCCTACTGATGAACTACTACAAACATTTGAGAATAATTCAGATTACTTTTACTCTTAAGAGAGCTAACTTTGCTCAAAAGTAAACTGCATAAAGGTGTAAGGTAAACTTGGGTTACACAGGCCAGTCTTTGTCTTATAGCTGTTTTATGAACACAGCACATTTTCCTTTAAATAGACTCCTACTTGAGTTTATAATAAAATGCTAATTTATGCTGGTCGTGCAGAGGAGCAAGGCTAGTTTACATGTCCAATGTGCATTTAATCCACACTGAGCAGCCCTGTGCTACGGACTGCTCAATGTGGCCGTGAAAACCTCCGCAGGGGGATAAAATTGATAGAATTTCAATGATAGTCGCGCCAGACCTGCATAAATGCATGTCTTTATTTGGGTCTTGAGTAGAGCATCAGAGGGGAAATGTAGATTGTACTGACAAATGGACCATGTTTAAAAAGCAGCCACACTTAATCACAGAAAGCAGCAAATGTCCAGACTTAATGTCGTTAATGTGATTTTTTGATTAGATGCCAAGTAATAGGCTTTGAATCATCCCAAGAAGATTCAGTATCTCAGGCTTTAAACTAACCACTGTTTACGGTTTAAATTTGGCTTCAACAATGGTCTTTAAGGAACTTATCACATGTGATGAGTCTGATGTACATCAGTTCACACCTGATTTACTGAGGCATTAGAAACAGCCACAGCTGTGGCAGAACATTGCGTCAATAGAGCCGAAGTTCTAATAACAGTTATCACTAATCACTTTTGCTATCCTTAAGAAAGTTGTTTTACGTTGACAGTCACATATCTCAAATGTGCCTGATTCCAGTTCACAAAGATTAGCACAAACATTTCTGGTACCTTTGAAGTTATAGATGGAAAATTAGTTTGGGGCTGAAACAATGAATCGGATGAATTATGATTAATCGATTATGAAATATTAATCGACTAATTTAAAAATCGATTAATCGTTAACTGGAGTTTAGAGACTGTAAAATATCCCTTTAGGCTAAAGCTCAGCCAACCCTTGAGCGGTTATTATACCAAAATTGTAAAAACAAAAAATATATATATTAACAGTTTGCATTTAAGATATAAAAAAAGAAGCTTTTTTGTCTGTCAATATGCTCTATCCAGAACTCCTCAAGTGGAAAAGCTTTCGTTTCCCTGGTTTTACTTCGTAAAAAGTCTTCTTTAAGGAACCTTTGGCTATCCGATTAATAATGAATTAACAAAAAAATTATCAATACATTTCTCGATTTGCAAAAAAATTGTTGGCCGCAGCATTAAATTAGATCAAAGTTTCTGATTTGGTATTTTAGAAGGTTTTGAATGAGGGTGGTGGTATTCTAAGAATTAAAATAGTGGTTTTTAGAGTTATTACCTACCTGATATTCATTACTCATTATTGGCTTAAGCAAAAAAAAAAAAAAAAAACCTGAAAAAATGCTAAATTAAGAATGATTTCTTTTTTTACACTAAAACAAATGTTTATACTACTCAGCATAAGCTAAGTAAATATAAAGAGCAGTAATCAAATTATGATTTTAACTATTAAGGGGGAAAAAAAGCTATCAAAATAAACAAGGCCCTACTGCTCCTGCCATCGTTAAACTGACAATTAGATTTTTCACTTTGGAGAAATAAAGCCCACTCCATTTTACATAAGTGTTTTAATTTAGCCACAGAGGGTTTTCAGGCACAAACTGCCTGTTTAGGTGTCTTGGCTTAGGCTGACATCCTACTGCATAACCTCAGTATGCCTCAGCACTTGGGTTATGCAGCAGAAGGATGTCTGGTTGCAAACTGTTTGCCAGACATCCTCCATCAGGGTTTTCTACTAGAGAGCCAAATTCATGGCTCTATCAATTACAGCAAGTTGTCCAGGTCCTAAAGCAGTAACGCAGTCCCAGACCAATACATTAACACAGCATGTGTTCATTTTCTGCCAGCTGTAACTGGAACCACTCTGTTCAAAAATTCTGCTTTTGTCTGAGGACTATCAAAATTGTCCTCAAAGGTCTTCTTCAGACCTTTTCTTCTCAATCATGAAAAACACAAAGAGGGAGAAAAACTAAACTGTAAAGTATACCTAAAGCAGCAGAGTGAATATCCAGAAGCTGAAGCAACATGCCTCTGCTTTTAGTCTGGATTCCAGTTTTAGGTTAGAGAAACCCTGTAGATCTATGTTAATCATTGTAATGAATTTAAAGGAAATAAAGAGTCGAGTTAAAACAAAGATACACCTGCAGGAAAGAGCTGCGCTGTGATTTTAAACAGTCTAATTAAAGGCTATGATATCCAGTAAATTTGATTACCAACATTTGATCGAGCTCTTTAGTTCCATTTCAAAACACATGGAGGACAAACTTAGAACTGTACTGCAAATACCTACACTGTTGATACAGAGCACATGTAGCTTATTTTCATTGGCATCTATAAATAAAGAAAGATTACCATTTAAAATAAAAATTAAATCTCTGAAAAGAAAAAACAATCCAAAGTTTTATTAACATTTTTCAAATTACATTACATCTAACATAGCCACTGGTGTGTTGTAAGCCACTGGTCTGTATTTACTTAGCCTAAAGCTTTTGTGTTTTCTGATTGTAGTCCTCCATATTGCCATTTTTTATAAACAGAAAGCCCCTATGCTGCCATGTTTAAAGTCATGCTTCATTACCTTCTCTATAGTGCCCCCCAGTGGAGATGTCAAATAAGTATCTGGCTACCTCCTCAGAACCAGTTCACTCATGGTTGGAAATTAGCAGAGTGGTAAGATAAAGCATTTTGTGGCTTTCCATGCTTTCAATGCTGTGACCTTCTGGGTAATTCAGGGGTACATTTGGATTGGAAAGCTAATCCTGGGAAGTTTCATCACTGTTCCATGCTTTCTCTATTAGCGGATAAAAGCTCTAAGGCTCAGGGAAATACCAAAGCCTTAGAAATGTTGAAATGATTTCCAGACTAATAGATTGTGCTGACTTAGTTCCTCTTTTCTTTGAGATCTCTTGGCCTAAATTATATTGTCAGAACGTTTCCATTAAAGCTATTTCTTGATGCTTTAATGGGAATAGACAGTAGTTAAGGATGAGTTGGTCAGCCAAAATAAACTATGCTTCCCAAAAGGCGTGATTACTCAAAGCTAATTGCTGATTTAACAGGGGAGGGAGATATAATAACTTTTCCCTATGGGGGCAACTTATTTTGGATAGCCGTCATCACCATTACAAGATAAACTAATCACTTTACAGTTGCATTCTGTGTTTAATCGGGTTATTGTGTATAATAGTTTTTAAATAATAGCAATCATAAATGTGAGATGGCAAATATTTTTTAACAGTACCACTGCTTGCCAATGTTAGTTCAACAGATGTTAGAATAATAATAATAATTAGAATAATAGGACGGATGGTGGCCCTCCTTCAAGACATAAAGAAGGCAATAGATGCACTGCCCAAGATCATGCAGGAAATGGGCAAAGCCGCATTACTGTAAGTGCTAGTGTTGCAACAATACGGTTACCAGTATCGGGCGGGGCCTCGATCCATCCAAAATTGTGGTATCGGTATTGGCGAGTACCGAAAAATAGGGCACCGATACCATTTTCAGACCCAAAAGTTTATTCAACTATTGTCAGCCATTCCAGGTAGGCAATAAAAGGTTCTACTAGATTCACTTTGTATTAGTCTTTATCCTGCTTCACAAAGGTAGGCAGCAGCTTCACAAAGCCATAATGGCAATTATTTTACATAAAGTAGTATGCAGTTCTCCATATACACACACACACAGATCAATTTCAAACAGTGGTATCGGTATGGTATCGACCAGTAACGCACAGCCAGGTTTCGGTATCGGTGCCAAAAAAATGGCGCTTACTAAAATCAACGCTTACTTAAGGGGCTTTGTAACTTAAGAGACAGAAACCACTTCTGACTACAGACATGTACACTGCGCATTTCAGCTTAACAATGGAGATAACAAAAATTCTTTCCAATTTACCATGTATTTACTAATGCAAATAAAATCTTAACAAATTTAATGACAGTGTAATTCTGATTTGCAGTGTTGAGAGTACAAGCGTTAGATAACAATCGGGATACCATTTCAGTAGAAGAGTAATAGAGTTACTTTTTTCTCATTTGAGCAGCATGTTTATGGGATTTGGAATCTATAACAATCATAAAAGCGCACCACCTGCTGTAGGAGAACTACTTTTTGGTTCTAGTGCAGCGGAGAAGGGGCGCTGAGAGGAATAAAGTGGGTGGGTGTATGCACATTGCACACACAGATGAGACCAACAACAAAAGAGACTAGTGATGGTGGAGAGACCCGCATATTTAATAATAGTGTTCCTAAAGTGGAAGCATAGGCTACGTTCCCACTGCTGCCTAACGTGACCAAAACCAGATTTTCTTGCCGATATGCGACCTGTATCTGATTTGTTTCATACCACATAGCCGAGTGTGACCCAGGCCACTCGGCTATGTGGTCCTGAACCCGATACGTATCTGATCTTTTCAAATGCCACCTGTGTCTGAACAGCCAGGTCGCATTCGTCCAACCTGTATGTCATTAATATTCAACAAAGTTTCCTATTCTGCGTCTTGCTATGCAGAGGCGGGAAGAAAAACAACATCCATAGCGGACGATAATGCGGAGAGTAGTGTTTATATTAAAGGTCCTTGAAAAGATTGTGTTGTTGATGTGACGCTTTGTAACCTCATTGGGTCCTCTACTGCACATGCAGGACACATACGTTTTGTGAATGCATTTCACACAGGAGATCACATATAAGTCGCATATATTTGGATATATGAAAAACCATGCAAAAGAATCGTATTTCACTAAGGCCTGCTGTGTGAAAGTAGCCGTAGATACTAATTTACACTTGCTAAAGTCAGAAACAAAAGGTGCTAATCTAATGAAGGACCTTTTATTGTCTCAACCTTTTACAATTTTGAACCACAGCACGTGCATTGCACTTTACCTCTTAAATGTTTTACTGAAATCACTTGCATTTTACAGTATTCTATACTTTTGTTAAACACAGAAATACTGAAAGTACAATATTGTCCGGAATTGCATGACCCCCATTTACTTTTACTAGGCTTATTTTACTTTTTCCTATACCGTTTAAAAAGCATTTGTTTTTAGTATTACAAAAGTTTAAAGCCAATTGAAGCCAGTTAATGTGAATAAATATCTAGTTTGAAAACATTCACTTTGTATTCTGTCCTGTTGTTAAACTCAAAGAAATAATAATGAATATGTTTGTTAAAAACATATTAATAATCATATCAACATAAATATATTGCAACTAGTAGATTCTTGACTCACTTATCCCATCACACAGTAACGTAGATTACTCTACAGATAAATATTCTTTAATGGAACTTAAACTTGATCCCAGCATCCATTTCTGTATCTGCATTATCTGGGTGTTAAGATATTAGGGATAACATTATTACTAGCACAGATACTCTGGCTAGCCTGCATATATGCAGCTAGCTAAGCAAGAAACCATGATGCAATACTGTATTCTGACACCCCTCTGTCAGAGCTGCCAATGACTAATTGGCATTATGAGCTACAGAAGGTCATCTTTTGGGTCAGACTACATAAGCCAGCCTTTGTTCCTGATCTTAATCCATAACCCTTGACCACTTTTGAAAGCTACAGATTATTAGAGAAGATGTGGCATATTCAGGTTATCAAGCTGTGTAGTCATCTGACCCAATTATCTAAACTCCAAACATTACAGCTTGTCCTTTTTCAATTTTGCTCAAATCTTTACAGCTGACAACTTTGCTAATTTCAAACACATCAGCTCTCAGAACAAAATGTTAACTTCCGGCCTGATTCATCGCACCAACTACCAGGTGCCACAATGTGGAAATATTTTCTGATTGGTGCACACAAGGCTGTTACTGTGAAATAAGTTATTTTTATTACAGACCTGACTGGCTTTGAATGTGTTCCAATGATATCGGTTTCCAGATCCAGCAAATGCTGGTGATTGCGGTTCCCGGTTAACCTCTTTAGCCTCAGCAGGGCCACACAGAACTGAGCACCCATCTCTTCAAGCTCTCTGGTGCCGATCTGAAGTCCCTAAAAGGAACATGAAACCCATCAGGAAAACATATCTGTTCTTTTATTTTTAGCAGCTAGAGGAATGCATAACTAGAGTTTTCCATCAGCAAAAAATTACAGTAAAATTATCCTAAAAGCTTAATTTTTAAATGATACAACACATTTCGGGCGAGAAACTTTCATGTTAAAACTATGGAAGGCACAGAAAGAAAATCTGCCAAATAAGGGGGAGCAGCAACACACAAAGCTAACCTCTGTCTTACCCCCCAAAAAACTGCAAGTTTGTTTTCTCCAGAGGAAAAGTAAAAGCATCTAAACTTGGCCTCGCCACTACAGTATAAGGCCACAACTCAATCAACAATTGTTCCAGCAGATCCTGCCAAATACCTCAACAGAATCTAGGAAGAGCCCTTGGAAAGGTAAATATATTAAATGTTGACATTGGCAAAATTCTGATGGAAATAAGCTGGAATGGGAAAAAAGAGCACAGTTTAAAAAAAGAGAAAAATAACAAAATTATTTGATTGGAAGCAGAAGAGATGGGAATTGAATAAAGGAAAAAGGAACCAAAGCTCCCCTTGGTGGACATTTTAATATTTGCAGACGCTCATCTGTGCTCATCAGCCCAAAGAAATTGGAATATTTAATGTTTTGCTTACCCTTGATAAATAATGAATTATATATGTATTTTTTCATGTACCTTTGAATTTGATTCATCTACAGTAGTAGCTGCCTAACGGGAAGTATTTAGTTATAAGGTTTATTCATTTTTTGTTGTTGTTTTGTTTTATATTGTCTCTTTCCAAATAAAACTAATATCCTTAATACATACCTTATATTTGCCCTGATCACAGCCACAGAGGGTGCTCTCCATGGTATAACTGCGTTTTACGCCAATCTCTCTCCAGACAACAACTCGCGCTGTTGACTCTTTGGAGCGCTCCACCACAAAACTGGAGCTGGCCATGCTGAAGGCAGGTGCGATCTGAGACAGGATCTTGGGAAGAGTCTGTAAAATATAGAAAGCTATTATTTTCTGTTTTGATCAGCAGTTATTGTTCAAAATGTTTTTTGCATCTATTAGTAATTCAGTTGATTTTTTCATTCTTATCCTGAACGTTTGTGTGAACTCCTGGTCCTCAGACCAGTTGTTTAATGATAAACTTTCAGTTCATTCAATAACTCTCTACAGAAGAGAATAATATGAATCGTAATACATTATGGATGATATATAGTTAATACATGATATCTAGTAAAAATTTAGTAAAAACATCTACAACACTCCACGAAAAAACTAGAAAAAAAAAAACATTCTAGTTAAACGAAACAAAAACTAGAAAAACAAAAAGCTAAATCAAACTGTTACATGAGTTTAGGTTCCAATTGATTTTTTTTTTCGTTCATAGATACAGCAGTCTGGTTATTTGTGTTTCTGCAGCAGTCTGTCATTATCTGGGATTAAGCAAAATGCTGATATTGTTCCTTTTAAAGACATAGAGATTGTGAATACATTATTCTGTATCATGGAGCATTTGAATACAGTAATACACAACATGATTACATAACTTAAATATGAGCTATACAGTTGAAGATATAACGAAGTAGTAGAGTACAGTTAAACAAATAATCCTTTGCTTATTCATAGCCTTTTATAGAGTTACAATCATTAACCATGTTCTGTGCATTTGTGTGCATATTGTTACGGCTGCAGTGGGTTTCTGCACTTTTCCTTGCAGGGTTCTGGATGCAGGCCTTCTGCAGGTGATCTGTTTGATCGGTTTGTATTCTGTGCTTGGGTTTTGTTAGGTTTGTTTGCATTTGCTTATTTCTGTTTAGTTAATGGTTTTGCAGTAAGCCATTTTCTATTCCCCATTTTATTTATCCCTTTTTCAGGTTTTTGTTTCTTTAGTATAATTTAATAAATTCAATTTTCACTTGAAAGAATATCCTTGTGTGGTCTCCTTTAATGTTACCCCCACCAAACAAGCCTGGTGGATGTAACAATATTTACCCTGTATCCAAGGTCCTCCTGTAAGTCACTGGAGGTTGCACTGATATTAGACTGCCAGACTGTCTCCTTCACACTGCAGCCGTACATGAAGACATTCTTCTTTCTGGAATGGCCGTGGTAATCACAGAACACCTGTGTATTTAAGCACAAACACAGCCACAGACAGGATGGATGCACAACGGTTTATTATGCATACTGGAAATTCTACCACAAATTAATGAGAAACTAGGTAGAAAATAAAAACTATGTATGTGAAAGATACATTAAAAGAGGTTGGAAAATGTAAAAAGAATTTCTAGTTAGAGAAAATAAAAGACAGTTTAATCATTTGAAAAGGCCCACAGAAAACAAAACCAAACAAATCTATTTGAAAGTTCCTGAAAAGTTTAGCACAGAGCGTAGCAGAGTGGGCTGTTTGTGGTCAATCCTTAAGCTGCGTTCACACCGGGCGCTTTTCCTGTGTCAAAGCATCTGATTTAAATGCAATGTCTATTGGGGTGGCGTCAAGAGGTCTGGTGCGTTCGAGGATCAGGAACGACGCATCAGAGCGTTCTGCCGTCCGAGCGTTCGACGCTGGAGATCAAAATATTTAACTTTTGCCGCTGGATACTGGAGTGTAATCAATCAGAAAAACTGGGTTTGAATGTTGACAAAGCCATTCTCAAGCACATATCAAGGTGCTATTTCGTGAGCCTGGATCAATATTTATTTTTTGATTATGTTCATGGTGGAGAATCCTGCTTCACAGCAGTAGGTTGAGCCAAACATACTCAAAATGTGCAGGGTCATCTTTGAGCACGCCATTTCACTTTTCTTTCACCAGTTCACTGCGGTACTTCCAGCAGTCCACGCTTTCTTTGCTCTTTTTCTTATTGTATTCTCCTTCTTTCGCATCTCCTGGCCTGCCATAGGTTTGCCTGCTGTGTCTAAAAGTGGCTCGCAGAACTTAACCTAAGGTTCTCTTTCAACATTAGTTTCGGTATCTCACTATGGGATGTTGCAACTCCCGTTTTGACAGATAAGCTTAAATAAATGTGAGGATCCTGCATCCCGGAACCGTGTGGGCAGGTGTGGGTGTGGTAACATCCAACCTATAAAACCTAGTGAAAGTGTGAGGAGTTGCCCAGCATGCAGCCCCACAGATGTAATCCAAAAGTATACCCTGGAACAATACCCCCGATGATGCCATACTACAGGTTGAAAGAGCTCGCAGGCCTGCAGGGGTTGAGAGCCCTTAACCTCATAGGCCGTTGTAATAGCTCCCACTATCCAATGTGAGAGACGTTTTAGTGAGGGGCTTTCCTTTATGTGGTGGAGACCGTGATACAAACAGTTGATCAGATTTGCGGAAACAGATTGTTTTCTTCACATAGATCCTGAGAGCTCGCACTGGGCAGAGCATGAGGAGTCGTTCATACACCTGAGAAGAAAAGGAAGGAGGGTGGAAAGCCATCAACTCAAGAGGGCAGCAAGACAGAGCGGGGTTAACAACTTTTGGTATGAAAGCAGGGTTAGGTTTCAGTACCAGGTTTCAACTGGGAGCTTGGTCCGGTGAATAGGGGCTCTCCCTGTTTGGACACAGTGAGCACAGGTGGTGGAGGGTTGGCAACCTCCATCACAGCGTCCACCTCCAGCAGCGTTCATAGACCGAATTGTTAGCTCGCTCTGTGAACAGTTAAGCTAGCTCAGTACTTGCTGTATTGGCCATCCGAGTAAGCTTCTGGGAGCGAGAAGAGGTGTTAGACTGAGGATCATCAGCGTGACATCAGGTTCTTATACTAGGGACAAGTCCCTCCTCCAGTTGCAAATGTCATCTCTGTGAGGCAGTCAAGACTGGCATAATGTTATAGAGTTTCTGGAGATAGCACTGGAGGCCTGTTCCCATAGTGAGATACCAAAACGAATGTTGAAAGATAACTTTATATTCACTTCAAGCCACTATGAACGTCAGCGGGAAATCATCTAAAGGCTCCCCGCAGCAGAGTTCTTTCAGCAGGGATTTCCAGCACTGCCTCCCGGTGGTATGCTGAAGGTCTGGCGGTCTGAACAAGAATTGCATTTTAGTGGGATCATAATCCTGATGATCTGACCGCACAGATGATGTCTGAAATTGGAATTTCCAATTTATAAACTAAATAAAGCCAAGCTACTCTCAAGCTAGAAAAACAACCAGAGCTCCGAGCTTCCAGAGCGTTGAAGCGTCAAAGCAACTTGACCACAGTTTCACCCAGTGTCCAAATTTCTGCATTTAAGCATTTTTTTACGCATTGGTGTGAACGAAGCATTAGAAGAACTGACGCTGAATTCACTGTACAGTAAATACTGTTTTCCATGCAGTTGAATAGGATGTGCAAATGAACTGGCACCATTTAAGGTAGTTAATGGAAAGAGGATGCTGCAAAGTGCAAAATGCCCCAAAGTAACTCAAGTGCAGTTAATTAGAAGTCCTACCAGTGGTGCCCTTTGTATATATGCAAGATACTGCAGCAGGCTCTTAGTATGGTAGATGGTGGGGTGGAGCTCAAGATTGGGGTTCTGCCACTGTCGATTCAAGTCCTCTCCACTCAGAGAACATCGATGACTAAAGCAGAAAGTAGATGGCAGAGAAGAATACAGAGTGGAGGAGAACAGAGCAACAGCTAGAGAATTCTTCCAGTCAAGATTTAATACAGGTGCTGGTCATAAAATTAGAATATCATGAAAAAGTAGATTGATTTCAGTAATTCCATTTAAAAAGTGAAACTTGTATATTATATTCATACATTACATACAAACTCATATATTTCAGATGTTTATTTTGTTTAATTTTGATGATTACAAATGACAACAAATGAAAATCTCAAATTCATCATATCAGAAAATTAGAATATTGTGAAAAGGTTCAAAATTGATGGCCCCTGGTGCCACACTCTAATCAGCTAATTAACTCAAACCACCTGCAAAAGCCTTTAAATGGTCTTTCAGTCTAGTTCTATAGGCTACACAATCATGGGGAAGACTGCTGACTTGACAGTTGTCCAAAAGACGACCATCGACACCTTGCACAAGGAGGGCAAGACACAAAAGGTCATCGCTAAAGAGGCTGGCTGTTCACAGAGCTCAGTGTCCAAGCACATTAATAGAGAGGCGAAGGGAAGGAAAAGATGTGGTCGAAAAAAGTGTACAAGCAAGAGAGATAACCGCACCCTGGAGAGGATTGTGAAACAAAACCCATTCAAAAATGTGGGGGAGATTCACAAAGAGTGGACTGCAGCTGGAGTGAGTGCTTCAAGAACCACCACACACAGACGTATGAAAGACATGGGTTTCTGCTGTCGCATTCCTTGTGTCAAGCCACTCTTGAACCACAGACAGCGTCAGAAGCGTCTTGCCTGGGCTAAAGAGAAACAGGACTGGACTGCTGGTGAGTGGTCCAAAGTCATGTTCTCTGATGAAAGTAAATTTTGCATTTCCTTTGGAAATCAAGGTCCCAGAGTCTGGAGGAAAAGAAGAGAGGCACTTCATCCACGTTGCTTGAAGTCCAGTGTAAAGTTTCCACAGTCAGTGATGGTTTGGGGTGCCATGTCATCTGCTGGTGTTGGTCCATTGTGTTTTCTGAGGTCCAGGGTCAACGCAGCCACATACCAGGAAGTTTTAGAGCACTTCATGCTTCCTGCAGCTGACCAACTTTTTGGAGATGCAGATTTCATTTTCCAACAGGACTTGGCACCTGCACACAGTGCCAAAGCTACCAGTACCTGGTTGAAGGACCATGGTATCCCTGTTCTTAATTGGCCAGCAAACTCTCCTGACCTTAACCCCATAGAAAATCTATGGGGTATTGTGAAGAAGAAGATGCAATACACCAGACCCAACAATTCAGAAGAGCTAAAAGCCACTATTAGAGCAACCTGGGCTATCATAACACCTGAGCAGTGCCACAGACTGATCGACTCCATGCCACGCCGCATTGCTGCAGTAATACAGGCCAAAGGAGGCCCAACTAAATACTGAGTGCTGTACATGCTCATACTTTTCATGTTCATACTTTTCAGTTGGCCAACATTTCTATAAATCCTTTGTTTTTATTGGTCTTCAGTAATATTCTAATTTTCTGATATGATGAATTTGAGATTTTCATTTGTTGTCATTTGTAATCATCAAAATTAAACAAAATAAACATCTGAAATATATGAGTTTGTATGTAATGTATGAATATAATATACAAGTTTCACTTTTTAAATGGAATTACTGAAATCAATCTACTTTTTCATGATATTCTAATTTTATGACCAGCACCTGTACATGCCTTGAAATACATAAAGCTGTGACAACCGTGCAAGCTTAGCTGCAACTGATGAATTAATACTTCAAAGTTCTCACTGGGTTACTTTTACTCCATCTCTGAGAACTCACTTTCCATTAATGACTCCATCAGGGTTAAGCATCGGGACAATCTTAAAGATGTAGGCCTCTCTCAGGCTCACTGCCAGCGGGCTGGTGCCCATGAGGAACTCCAGTGTGCCCTTCATCACCCAGCTGGCGTTTGTCTCCCCAGGGTGCACTCTGGCTGACAAGAAGATCAATGGGCGATTCCCTGAAGTGGAAGAAAAATAAAGTATAGCAGAATCATATACAGGACAATGGATAGCATACCTTAAACCTCTGGTGACTATAAAAAAAATTAGTGAACTAAATCTCTACATCTTGCCATCTTACATTTACAGCACTGAAACTAAAATGACAGGAGTGGGGTCTTAACCTGTTGCTGTAAAAGCACCAAATTTCTAGATGCCTTTGTTTTTTTTTTTTTTCGATTAGCCAGAAAACAAACTTTCACATTAAGCAATTCCAGATTTTTTTAACAACATATTGTCTCTTTGCGTTCAATAAGTATTTTTGAAATTGAAAGGAGGCTAGAATTTTATGAAAAATTATAGAATTTTCTCGACAAAAACAAACAACAACCAAAACACTCATTTACTTACTGAACTGACAGATATGATCACTGGATTTGGACTCGGGCATGGCAGTGATAGTAAGAAGTGGACAGGTGTTTCCACCAAGGGTCTCACACAGAACGTCCTGTCTCAAGTAGATCTGAGGGGTCCTCATAGCCTCAAGTTTGGACAGATGCATCTGTATGAAGTTAAAAAGTTACACTTTTTAGGTCTCTCTTACTAACAAATTTATAGATTATTTCTAACTCTGATTTAATACGGCTCTTTTAAATGTGTTCTTGCATTGTTGCTCCAACTTGTTTGACTTATTCAGATGTCTACTCTACGGAGTTGCAACTTATAAAATAATATGGTTTAGAAACTTGAATATGGTACAAGCTCAGAAGAAAAATGACATTGGCATTGACCGTAAGAACATCTCCATTGTCTCAGCAGGATCTAGAGAAACTATTTTATGAGTTTGCCTTCAGTAGAATTGATTACTGCAAACTCTATCAGACGACAGGCAGCTGATCCAGAATGCTGTTGCTCACATCCTCACTAAAACTAAGAAAGTAGAGCACATCCCCCCAGTTCAAAAGTCAATTCATTGGCTCCCCGTATCTCAGAGAACAGACTTTAAAATACTTCTGTTTGTCGATTTGTACAATAGTCAACAACAATAGTTATGACAACAACATACCCATGTATTATTAACCAATGGGATACATAAACAGAAGCAGTGTTCCTATCAGCTAGTTTATGTCAGAAACCTTAAATGAATATCAGTTTGTGACATCCCTACAGCAACGTGATACTAGCTTTCGGAGCGAATGCTCAAACATGAAAGAGCAGGAAAACTCTTTATTTAAACATAGAGAAGTAAACAGATAGTAGTGTGATTCCCAAAATTGCACTTCAGTGGTACCTTAAGTGTGGAGTATGTATAAGGGTAATGATAAGCAAAGTAGCAGACATCATCCTTATGGCTGAAGTTTATGCTGAAGGTCAGTGTATAATACGATTTTCCTTTTTGTCCCCCAGTGGCGATGGAACTTCTTGCAAAGTGATTTCTGAGAAGAACACATAAGTTAAACAGTACAGAAAGGAAAGTGATAAAAAAAAAAAAAAGACTTATTGAAAACTTTATCTCTTTAGCAAAGTTGTCCTGCATATTCGCCTAATAAAACCAATGGAGTAAAAACTGGAAATTTTATAGGAGCATTTAGGTGTAGCTATAAAAACTGGAGCATCATATATCCATATTCCATAAAAAAGTGAAGATGGACAGTAAAGCAGTGATATAGTTTCTAAATGAGGCCTTGCTGAGCATTAAGTCCATTAATAAGAGCTCATAACTTTTAGTAATGCAGTAAAATATAAATTATTATATAGTGAAGTGTATTTTAAACTGCTAAATGAAGTGTACAAAAGTAAGAAACTAATCTAGTTTTATGCAACTTTACTACTAATGGCAAAATTTTTTGGGATGGTTGTTTTCAACAGGAAACAACAGTGCAGGTCCATTACACATTTTGGATTTCACCTACTTATAGTAACAGATGTCTGTTCCCGTTCTGACCCAACAAGGCCTGCCACCAATGGCCTCCTGCACAGAGTACATCAACACCTGCATGCCTAAACACACACACAAAAAATAATAATGTTACTCAAAGTAATAGTAAAGGTTATGCTGTGCTGCATAGCATTTGTTAGCTCAAATGGTTGCTGTGTTTTCCCTCAGATGTGGCCTCATGTCTCACCATAGTTAAACTGGCTGTTTGACTTCTCACAGTTGATGATGTTGAAACGGTACGTAACCCCGACACGCATGCCACTCACTTCAAAGTAAAACCACTGATGGTAGTGATTACTGTTGATATCTGCATTCAGAACAAGGTCGTACTCATATCTAGAGAAAACAAAACAAAACATAAAAATTCTAAATATTAACCCAAACATCAACTAGAAAAAACAAATCAATAAATTAATTGAACAACACAAACATGTACAAGGGAACATACAGGTAAAAAGCAGATCATCAATATTGAAGCCAGGTTAAACTTTAACTATATATACATTCAACAGAGATTGTTCCTCATAGGAAATTATGTGGTATCATTTTTAATACTTTACCAATATTGCAGCTTTCAGTATTGATTCAATACGATAACACAAATACTTTTCTAAATACTTACTCATTAATAGTGTGGAATTACTCATTCCACACTACAAAATGTGTAAGAAATGCTTTTATTACTCATTTTGTAGTGTGGAATGTTAGAAAACAGTCAACAACAATAGACAGAACAACTAACAACTATGAGTTAATGAGTAACAAACTTTAAACTGAAGTGTAGTCTTTCTATAAGCTTGCTGATTTCAGATGTTTTAATTGCAGGCCGATTTATTCTAATATTTAATTTTTTGGGCTGATGTCAGACTAATGTCTGATATCAATATCAGATCAGTACATCTCTAATTTGTATTAGAGTTTCAGATCCTATATTTGCTACTTACTTCCTAACTTGAACAGCTTTCCTGAGGTTCCCCGACTCAAATTGAGAGTTGAACTTCAGAGATTCGCTGTTTTCTTCAATCACAGGACTGAAACAGAAACAATCTTAATGCATTGATAGCAATCATATATAATTAGCTTGGATGAAACTCTTAACAGGATGAAACTCTTAACAAAATGAAAATAACAAATCTGAGGTATCCATGTGTTTGATAACACTTTAACATAAGATCTTATAAACACTGGATGAAAACCAACACCCTTCCTTCAACTAAAAACTTCAGCAGATGTGTTGTAGCTCACCTGGGATGAGCGATGTCATAAACTACTTTATCCAAGATATCATTAGGATGAATCAGCCGCTCAATATCCTGAAATATCTTTGACCTATAGATGAGGACGAAACAAGATAAATAAATAAATGCCAGCAAGATTTTCTCTTGCTAAGAAAGCAGCAGAGACAGAATACCAAGTAGCACAAACTGAGCAAATGATGTTCCTACAGTATACTGATTTAAGGACCGAATAAAATACAGTATGACTGACAGACTCTTGTTTAGGTTTTTTTTTTTTTTTTACATTTGGGACATAATATCAGAAACTATAAACTATATTAATGTTCTACCAATTCAAAACTATGAACAGTGTTCTCACAGAAATCGTAAAAAAAGACAATGTGAATAAAAATGTGAAAAGGCTCAAAACGTAAGGATGTTTTGGTGAGATACACCTTAACTTTTAACTTAATCTATTTTCTTTAGCTACTATTGCAATTGTCTCACCTCTGTACACCATGCACTCTCTCCAGAAGAGGTTCCTTAAACACTGGAGGTACATGGCCAAAGTAATCTGGGTAAGCCACTTCAGCATAATGTGGGACTGACTGTGTCCCCTTCACCATCTCCACGTAAAGGTCAGGGTCATGCAGCGGCAGGAGCAGAGCTGTGTCTGGCACCTCAAGAACGGCACCTTCTCCTCCTTCATCTTCAGCACCCTCTGAGCCACATTCTGAACCCACGTTGCTGCCTCCCCCACCTGCCCGACGTATTGGGAAACCCCCAAGGATCAAAGGTGACTGTATTTGTCTCAAGTTATTGACTGGAGACCCCTCATGTTTGACCTTCTCAGACCCAGCCTCTGTATTTTGACTTCCTTTGTCCTCTAGAGAGACACATTCCAGTGGATGGGAGAGTTCCTGTTCTATTAAAGGTCCTTGAGAGGGAGAACTGCAAAAAGGGGGTGGAGCAGAGTGTCCATCTGCAGCTGGAATGCTGACATTCTCTTTCTTATCTTTGCCCTTGCTGAGGTCGATTGAGTTCAGGTCCAGAGGAGTTTGAGAACCAGTGGGGGAGGGAGAGGCTAGACTCTGATGCTCTTTGACAGAGTTGCAAATCACTTCAGAACCTGGTATTTGCTTTGGGGACTCTTGCGCTGCAGGCACTACAACCGGTCGAGTGAACCGAGCTGATAATGATGAGAAGAGATGTGCTGATGAAGTAGTGAAGGAACTCTTTGAAGATTCAAAGCTGTACCCCTGGTATAAAAATAAAAAAATAAAAAAAGGGGGTTATAGAATTTTGAGGGATAAGGTTGCAAACAGCTCAAAAACTATTTATAGGAATTTAATAAATAGATTAGCATAGAATATCTACCTATTGCAACATAAAGCACAGCGTTTAAAACTATCAAACGCCATCTCATGAACATGTAGTTTGGGGGAAAAATTTTGAACAAATGTTGTTAAAGAGGCTTGTTTATTAGAGGTTAAAAGGAAATAGCCAGAGAAGTCTATTCTTTATGGAAAATTATTAGACAATCTACTGCAACTGCAGAATTATCTATACCTGAAAAATAAAATACTTTAACTGAATATTTCTAAAAGTACCTAAAGATTTGGTCATCTTTTTTTAACAGCTTTCAAAATATTTATTATGAACTTTCTTCAAATATTTATATTGGAACAAAGGTAAAGTCACACTGAGAGAAAGAAAAGTCACAGGTGAACAATTTTTACCACTCTAAAAACAATATGAAAATTAATTCAAGCTTTACAATGTCTTTAGCATTTCATAATAGGAATAAGCCTGAGTAGATCAGCTGCAATTACTTACTTGAAACATCTATCTCTTTTTGTTCAAACTGTGACACATGCACCACTTTTTAAGGCTTAATTAACCATTTACCCATGTAGTCAGTGCTTGGATGTGGGAATAACTTTAGTGGGAATTCAACCTAATCATGTTCTTTCAAGTAAAAATAAATACATTTTTGCAATTGTTGAACTAAATAAAAAAGCTAATTAACGTTTGCAATACAAGTTAAAGTTGACATAAGTCCCTTCATTCAATAAGGAAGAATGTTTACAGCATAATTTTCATAGGCTAACCATATCTAAATGGCATGATCTTTATTTCAAATTAAAAAGAAAGACGGTTGTAATATATTTTAGCAAATAAGCCAATCCTAAACTCAAGAATCAAATCTATTTTTAGAAAGAAACAAAGCTCCTAAAAGTAGAAAATACTTACTTGAAAGTCTTCAGAAAGCTCTGAGAAGAACTTCTGATAGATCTTCAGCTCCTCAAACGGGCGTCCGATGGTCCTTTTGGGATGTAGCTTATTGAGATCCGTCTCTATGTCATCATTCTGATTGAGGGAGAAAAACATAACCACACAGAAAACAAAACCAAAACAGCAACAGACATTGCTGAAAAGGAAAACTGAACATTTAACTATTAATTTCAAGTTGTAAGTGACTCCATCTGCTGGAACTTCAGAGAATTGCAAATGCTAGAGATAGCATGTAGATCATGCAAATTGTTTGAACATCCCAAAGCTTTCTTGGTAAAATTAGCAATAGCAAACTAAGAGGGAATATTATAGTACTCTTTACAGTTTATATTTATAATAGCAGTAATACATCAGACTGTCAAATTAAAAACTATCTATGAATGAAATTCTGAGTATTACCAGGTTACACTGATCCTTGTCATCTTCGTCATTCTCAGTGTCTGTCTCTGCCTCTGGCTCCTCGTTATCGCTTTCATCTGCCACATCATCCACTGGGCACAAAACATGCAGACACATTTTATACACATAAGAGACCAGCTTTTCTGATTTCTGGACATATTTCAGCAGAAGACATTGGTGTCTTTGCTGTAGGAGGATAACGGAAAACATTTGGGTGTGTGAGGAGTCAGGAGAAGAGACTGATGGAAAAGGAAATAATAGAGCTATCTAAAATTACACTTTAATAAGGAGTGGATGGTCCTGATGACATTTTAATAGCTTTTAATGCAGTTACCTGGAAAAGTTTTTACAAAAAAACACATAATTTTAAACATTTTATTGGGATTTTATGTCACCAACCAAAATAAAGCAAATCAAAATTGTGAAGAGGAAGGTAATAGCAGATATATTTTGAAAGATTTTTACAAATATAAAAGCTTAAAGGTTTGACATCACATTTGTATCTATATGGCTGTAGTGTCATACTGTTTTTCCTCAAATGTTGCAATGATGAGAGTTGACTGCTAAGCTGGATGAAAAATAGGGAAATAAACCTGATCCTGCTTTGATCTTTTCCATAATGTTATCCTGACCTGTTTAGTCTGTTCTTTGGTCTTAATGATGCTAGTTCTATCATTATTCTCCAACCAAATTTAAGGCAACTGAATACAAATGGAGGATGCAATCACAGCCTTTTTCTTAGATTTTACATTTCTGCTCATCAGGGAGTGAATAAATACTTTATGGTATGTACACAACACTTGTTAAGGGCTGTTGAAGATTTGATTAGTTCATTAGACTGAAAAGGCCCGTTATATGTGGCAGCGACATGACACTACTGCACTGCTTTTGTTTCTATAATTACTGTAACAATTATTGTGACAAGCTAGCCCCCCTAAACTAAACTGCATATAGGGTTATGTACATCTTGTGTGTACTCACCCCCAGAAGGCTGGCTGTACAGCTGAGCCACAGGTCCCCCAGGGGGGACATGAGGCAGCTGAAAGTGGAAGGCTGACTTGATAGTATGCAGAGGCAAACGATTCTTTGGAAAACACTTCCTCATGACGAGGCTTGAAGTGTTCACTAGTGGATCCAGTGTCCGCACTGGTAGACACTCCTGGAAAAAAAAAAAAAGAATGAAATGAAATGTTCCAGACTACTGCGGTGCCGTTTTCTTTTCTTCTTGCTTTGATTTTCTCACTCACAGTGGAGGAGTTGTAAAGGATTCTCATGCCGTCAGCCTCTAAGAAAGCCTTTCGGCCCAGTTTGATGTTGGTAATGTTTCTGAGGCAGACCAGCAATCCTTTACGAATCAACACACATCTGTGTCGGGTGTCATTGCGATGCCAATCCAGGTACAGAGTGAGCAAGACAGACACATGGCCACTGTCTACCAAACGGCGAGCATTAGTTTCTGCACAGAGGAATGGAAGACATAGTAGATAAACAGACACAGGGTTAACACTGTGGTATGGACTGATCAATGAGTCCAACTAAAAACTGTAAAGACAGACAGAAATAGAGGTTCCAGAGCAAAGTGTGTTATTGAAGGCAGCAAGGAGAAAAAGTAAAAGGTATGCAACACTGGATGAAGAGTGTACTGATGAAGGACTAGAAGATGAAGTTCAACTCAATAACATGCATAACATACATACATAAAGTTCATACCAATAACATACTTACTAGATTTGAGTAGAGCTCCAAGTGCATCCAGAGCTATCCTGTTTATTTAAAAAAATAAAGCAAAGTGTTAAATGATGACTGATAAATCTGTAAAAAAAGGCCACAAACCTGTGGATACCAGTGCTGTCTATAATTATGTGCCTCTCTAACAGGAGAAAAACACTCACTTGAAAAGGCTGGTGTTCTTCTTACTGTAGGGCCCGACAATCTTGAAAATAAGTTCCATCACACCGCACTTGCCCAAAGAAATAGCATTTACCGCTTTGCATATGAAAAAGCACAGGAGGAGGTCAAAGTTAACTACATAGTTGGTAGCGAAGATACGATTTTTATCCCAGCTCCAAGACACTGAGGATGCATTCTACTTACAGTTGGTAGAGTAAACCCTGAGAACCTGCAGACATGGAAGAAGCAGCTTTGTGTTCTGCAGATTATGTTTAATTACGTTGACCGTGATGTTCAGAGCTCCACTCAAACGTGCCTTCACTCCAAACTTTCTGTCTAAAGACACAAAAGGTTTAATATCAGTGAGTGAGAAAGAAGCAATATGCTTTTTAACTAAACCTCAAACTAGTCTTACAGGAGTCAAAAACACTTTGTTATACATTATAATTCGCCTACTAAGATTTTTTTTAATCATACATTCAGTTTTTTTACATTAATTTCTGTAAATCACTGATAATGAAGCAGCAATAAAAAGCAATATTAAGTATGTAAGCAGTCAAATTAATTAGCATAGCACCTTTCACAGACAGAGTAAATATAGCTTCACAAGAATAATAGTAAGAGTATAGTAAGAATAATAAGTATAGAAATATATATACTTCAAATATATATGGAGTCTATTTAAAAGCCTGCTTATATAAAAATAACAGATTTTTTTTGTAGGGTATTTATGTAGCACAAAGAAAGTGGGAGCTAGTTCCAGAGCCTTTGAGCCACCACCAGGAAAGCCCAATCTCCTCAAGGTCTAAGGCGAGTCTGCATTACTACCAGTAACCAGCTGATCTTAGAATCTAAGGGGAATTATATGGCATCCATAAGCTATTAACATACTCCGTAGCTTAACCATAGAGCCCTAACCTTTAGGATTAACATTTAGAAATGTAGTCTCTATCGTAAAGGAAGCCAGTGCAGAGCACATGTAAGCTTCTGTTTTTCTGAAGTGACTGACACAGGTTTAAAACCGATTTACTGAGACACATAAAGACTAAAACAATAGTCCTAATAAGAGACAGACTGAAACATCAGCCAGCGGATTTTTTTTGGCAATATTTGTGGTGGGGGGGGGGGGGGGGGGCTTCTGCCAAGTGCATGCATTGGCAGATTCATTAGTGTATTCATCAGCCATGTCCTGAAATCACATTGCAACTCCTTCCATTCGCTTTCCATTTTAAATGTTCTGTTAGATGTAGCAATTATTATTACTGTCATTTTAATAAAGTAAAAAAACTGTTGTCAAATTTCAAAATCAGTCAGATGTCACAATAATCTTTATAGACCTTAAAAAAGCCTGTATCGGTCGACTGTTAGCACAAATGAAAAGAATGAACTACCATCTCTAGTTAATTTTTTGAAACTCATGATCTCATCTTTGAAATTTTTTTTCAAATAATAAAACCAACTTTTGATTATTCTTTTTTGAGCATTATTTAATGATGCTCAAAGGATAAAGATAAAACATGACAGCCAAGTTTTGTACAGATGTTAGAAAAGAAGGTGCTAGAAAAGTATGATGCTCCCTGATAATGAAATAAAAAAGGCTACTAAGCAACTTGTGTGCCGTCTGAAAACACTTAGATACCCCTAAAAATGGTTATTAATGGGATTAAACGGACATTTTGTACAAGATGTACATTAAGCAATTCAAGTAAAATTAAGAGGTCTACAGGAGTCTCCAGAAAAAAAAACACTTGCAAATTTCATACAATAAAATACCTAATAATTCTTCAGCATTATTTGTGTACATTTTATGGTGATCTCAAAAGCTACATCTTAATTTGCTACAAATACACAACTCATATGTCACAGCCAAGTGTTGTCACCTACTTACATGAGACACTAAACCAGGGGTTTACAGCACTTAGTACGAACCACTTGAATATTTTACCAGCCACCATGTTGTTTAGTGTAGCATTTTTCAGACATCATGGGAATCTTAGATTGGATATACTGAAATAATGAGATGTGAGTATTAGGTTGTGCCACCAGTGTAAAATCTGCTGATGGATACAGTAATTATTGTCCGTTCAAACAGAAACTTTTCTTCCCTTTGAGCAGCTTTCAGTGGGACATTTTGTACGCGGTTGTAAAAATGCAGCTTTATAGAGACGTGTCTGGTGAATGTCTGCTCTGTCTTCAATGAACCTGCCCATGCCATAAATATCACCTGTATCTATTGATTATAAATAACTCTTGAAAAGAACTTACAGTCATTCTCGGATGTTTATGAACAGAGATGTCTAGTAAGATGGAGTCTAAGACACGCTAGTTTGTGAGAGGTTGTAACATTATGTTGCCAAAATTAATTCTTCAATTTCTCACAGTTTACCGTTGAAACGGAAAGATGTAGCAACTCCGGCGCATTGCTGCCCTAAATGCTAGTTACCTAAATAGCATTTACTATTGGAATTGCAACCTGTCACTGTGGCTGGAAATCTACACAAATCCATACAAAATTTACAAATTAACCCACATTTGACCAGTTTCTACCCCTACATTAAACAAAGAGAGATTTGTTCACTAAGCATGGCAGGGCTGTCAAATCTACCTACTGATTAATTCAGACCATATTCAACCAGTGGGGGTCAGTAGTGTACTGTGTTAAGAAGAGGAATTTTTCATCCTTAAATGGTTAAGTTATCAATACATTTATTTTTTATCACAAAACCGTTAAACTGTGATAAATGGCTGAGTCAAATGCTTATATCTACCCTACATATTGGTGTTTTGTAAATCACATGGGCGCTTGAAGTTTTTAACCAATCAAATTAAGCCCTTCATGTATTTGACCAATAGGATGGATCTCTACATTACTTTAGACGCGGACAACGTCACAGATATGCGCCTATAAAACCAGCTTAAATGTCTTGAGCTTTTAAAAATCCTAGCGTTGTAAGGATTCAGCATCATACATAACTTTCTAGATGGATAGACTCTGATCGAAAATAAATATACCTTTCGGTCCAACCTTGGCCAGTAGTGAGTGAAGCTGCAGCATGAGTTCCTCACTGGGAGGAAGCTCATTACTGGCGGAGATCAGAATCTGGAATAAAACTCCTGTTCCTCCTTTGGAAACAAACACTCCCACTCTACGGCCTCTGCCTATAACAGAAAACCAGGAAAAGAACTGTATTAAAAGAGCTGAAACTTAATTCAGGACCAGATTAGAACCACATGGGGTAACATTGATACAATTTATCACTGCCATATTATTAATCAAGGAATCAAATTATACTAGGCAAGCTTTAAGAAAATATATTATGTTTCTAAATGGCTTTAAATTGCATTATAAATAAATGCAGGAGCAATCTCTGCAAAAGGCTTAATTTATTTAATGCAACCTGATGTAAAATAAATCACAGCCTCCTTACCGATTGTCAGCAGCTCACTGAGGATGTACATGATGTTCAGAGTAGTCTGGACATCCCTGCTGTTCTGTCAAAGTGACAAGCATCACATATGATTAAATGATGGACACAGTTGACAAATTATTAAATAAGAGCAATTCTTTATGAACTTATAGATATTTATTATTCTTAGATAATCAGCATGAAATTGGCTGCAGAGCTGCAGTCAATAAAGGAGACTGAATCATCAGCAACTATAAGAAGACTGTAGACCAAAATGCTTCATTTAAACAATTTTCTGATGTGGTGAGACAATTTTAAAATTAAGAAAAGCAAAACCGACAAAAGACACATTCTGATCAAAAAAATTAATGTACAAATAACAATAAAGCCCCCTTCATTCTTATATCTTACAAGGTTGTAATGCAATATTTTTTCTCTTAAATAGTCTGTTTTTATCTTGTTACATTTCTGGTTTACAAAAATATAATTCAAAAGGTTCTTATTTTCATTATTACATAAAGGTTATTTACTTTCTAAAACCTGCATCTGATGTGTCATACTGACTCACAGAGGGTAATGAACCGTTCAATAAAAGTAACTTAATCTTACTCTTGGTGAATTTTAAAAAGGGAGCCTATTGAATATTGTGTTACAGTGGTGTGATGGGATAGCCTGTGGTTGACTGAACATGAGCTGACCTCCAGAGAAGACAGGATGACCTCCATTCCACTGGAGCCTTTAGACATCACCTCTTTTCCACTCTTCTCTGTAACACAACAGACAGTAAAAAGATCATCAGGAATATAAAAACACAGATATTTGTGCCTTTTAAGACTTTATAAAAAGATCATAGACCCATCCTAAATCTGTAGTTATAAGAGTAGGTGATGACTTATTCCTTTTACGTCAAACAAGTGGAACAAATGCTTGACAAAGACACTCAAAGATCTATCTAATTTGAGTCAACATGATGTAATACTATATCTTTATCTCTCCTATCTCTGGCCATCTTAAAATGAGAGCTTGGCTTGTTTTCAGGAACTGAAGTGTAGAAGATCATCTCCACTTGAATGCTTCAAACTTTGCCAGACTCCCATTCAAAAATATGCAATGGCGTTACAATGGGCCCCGCAACAGAGCGCAGAGGCTCACATTACAACAAAGAGGGAAAGTGATTTCATTCTCTGCTGAGGACCTTTAATCCATTGTATCTTTACATAGCAAATATTTGTTTTGCATCCATATTAGTTTTCAACATGTCATAAGTTAAAACTTTAAGGAATTCTTAAACCTGCCCCCTCCCCGCATATATATTATTAAGTTTTCTATTCAACTGAGGAAGACGTAGCAGTTACTTAGTCCTTTAATAACAAAAACAGTCTTACCCAAGTGTATTTTGTTTTGCAGGGCCTAACATCGATGTTTAGGAGTGCTGACAGATTAAAGGAACATATTAAACCGCCAAACAACAATAAAAAAGCTGGAACGGACACTGACGGCTTTGCAAAACATCCTTTAAAATTGCAGGACTTCAATAACAACAGAATACTGCAAATAAACAACAGAAAATTACATATACAACATAATCAATGACAAAGTTGGGAGCAGGAGATAATGTTACTAGATTTCTCTTAAGCTGGCACATTTTAATCAGAGATATACCCTTATTTTTGTTTTGTTTTTTTAAGTGAAGGGTTATATTACTAAGTGGTGATTTTAGACTATGTCAGGCAGTTTTGGGTGTTCGACAAAATATGCAATATCCAGTGCATGTGGGGATAAAATGTGTCAGCTATGCAGCCTCCGCAGTTTGCAGTGAGGAGAATACGCTGAAGTTACACTGAAGAGCAAACAGGAATCATGTTCATTCAGTCTGTCTCTCCTCACACTTTAGACTGGCGGAAAGGGGAGCAGCATCGTCTTAAAAACATTTTTATCATGCCAGGCTTTTTAAAGAGCTTCTAAACAAATCAGCACCTTAACGCCTAAATGCTGATTGATGCATTTCTGTAACAATGAATACTAGAATGATATGATCAATGTTTGGATCTTTAAGGAAAATGAAGAGAGGTGCAAAGAAATTTCAGCTGATTTGCAGTAATAATTAAGCCAAACCAGTAATCTCTAGGCTGGGACCATAGTAATCTATTTTTTTCTCATTATTAAAAGTATTAGGACTAATCAGCTCATGCTGAAAATCCCTCAGCAAAAACAGTTTAACAGTTTGTTTTTTTGTGGTATCAATGGGGTGTTTAAATTCAATTCAAAGCAAACAAAAACTATAAGAAGCAATTTCACAGAAATTTTCTACATGTCCAGGTACGTCTGCAAGACTTGGGAGTAAATAAAAGGAAGTAGAGTTCTATTGATTATGCAGAATTTGGATATGAAGGGAGCCTTTTGTAAAAAGGCTTAAGGTAAAAGGTCCACAAAAAACACAACAAAACAAACAAAGCTGATTAAAAATGTGAACTCTGCCATTGGTCTAAAAAAAAAAAAAATCTATATAATAAATTTTTATATAATAAATGAATAGAATACAGCAAGCGTGATTGCACCTCCACTCCTAAAATTGATGACAGGTAAGAGAAGGCTAAAAAAAATACTTTGAATGTATTTTTTTATATCTCCATCTATCTATTATATTTAATCACAGGAACTGGGTTCCTTTATGGTTAATAATAGTTAAGAGATTTACATTTAATCAAAGACTAGGATCTACAAAAAAAAATGCCTAGAAAAAAGACCTGACGTTGAACTCAATTGTAATTTTTAGGTGAACGACTGCTGCAGCACATTTGCAAAAGGGAGCGTTATTGCAGATCCTTCTTCCCTGCAGCTAATAGATTTTATAATCATGCTCTGAACAAGCTAAGTAAGTCGTTTTACACCCTGCTGTTAGTTGAACTGTTATTTCAATGTTTTGTTAATAGTCTATTGTTTTTTTTATTAAAAAATTATGCATGCCGTTTGGACTTTTACCCTATTAGTTGCACATTTTGTTTATTATGACTATGTCGGTTTTAAAAACAACATTTCTTTTTGCTGTTAAAAGCATTTTTCCTTAGTTTCCTCTGATAAACCTAAATATCAAATTTATTGAATTAAATTTACTGTTTTAATTTACAAATAACCTTGTGGCAAAAAAAAATCTATATATTACAGATTTTAATTAGGTCTGAAATAGAAAATTCTGACCTCTTAAAAAATTGTTCTGGTATATTTAGCCAATCTTGACCCTACCTGATGAGTCCAAAGAGTCCAGTGATGAATAGTATCTCCTAGTGTAGCGGTAATCCATTTTGAAACAAAAAGCCTAATGATTCTCAAGCATTCGAATGAAAATGTGTGGAGTTCTCCAAAACGTCTGCCCTACTTCCACCACAATAAGTCAAACCCCTTTGGGTTAGGTATGTTGTAGTAAATGATGCCAAAAAGTAAAGATCCCCCCAAAGCTTCATTGGTATGTCTGTATCCCCTCAAGGCAAACAGTGATCTCTTTGGATGTTAACACAATCCACCTGCTCCTCTACCATGTGTGCACAGATATCTACACTTGGAAACAAGCCCCTCCCTCTGAACTTTGCCAACAAGTAAACCACTGAAGACCGACAGTTGTTTTAGATGCATCTCTTCATGTAAAAACAGTTTCATATAAGGGAATACACCACTCTGAGATGGAAAAGGACACTATAATAAGCCTTAGCTTCCCCTTGTTCTTTCTTTAGGTTTCTCTTCCCTGCCTCTTAAGCCCCTAAGACTCTGAACTTAAGACAGAGGACAGAAAAGTCCCTCCTGGAGTGTATAGTTACTGTGAACAGGGTCACTGTGCCCCTCCACTTCCCTCTAACCAACGTCATACTCATGCAAGTTTCAAGTTGGGGTTGCAGGGGAGGCTCTGACAGATAGCAAAGCAGTAGATGAGAAGGGGAACAGCTGTATATCATGATTGATAGAGTTACAGACAGACGGTTTTCCACTGTGCCCGTCAGTCAGAATGGATTAACAGCTTTCCTTTGAAGAGTGGAGAAGACCAAAATTATGGAAAGAGGAAAGATGATATTCAAGAAAGATGAGATGGAAACAAGGTCAGAGGAAAAGCAAAGCATGTGGGAAAGGGAAAATTAGCAATTCAGTAACATTCTGTTACATAACATAATGCAAGAACTCCCTGTGTGCTTCATTAAAAGTCGCAAACAAGTATCTAGAGCTACAGTAGCAGTGGCTAGAATCTGATTATTTTCAGCATTACGAACAGTTGGCAACAAAAAAAAATCAGATCTTTTTCCAACCAATGAGCACAAGTTAACAAAACTACCTCGTCACCCTAACTTCTTCAGTGTGGAAGTCGCTACTCAGGGAAGAAGATATGAAGTTGGCCAGTTTCAGTATGAGTGAAAGTGGCTTCACTGTCAGTTCAAATAACTTAATTTGAGATACTTGTTTTTTCTCATAGATTATTTTAATTAAAAAATCCCAGATTAGCTATGTTATAGTTTTCCTGAGCTTAATAACTTGGGCAAGTCAGACACATCTTAGTCAATTTAAATCTCAAATCTTTTCAACTGGCATGCCATCCCAGAGCTTTCACACTTTGGCCATCCAACTTCAACACCTTCTGATAGTAGACACTAGGGGTTATAACGACTGCTAGAGGTTTCAGCCTTTTGAAATCGCCATTTTAGAGCCAAAAGTTACATACACGTTAGAAGAACGTTTTCATTGTAATTTCCTAAGCATCTACAAAGTCAGTGCCAGGCAGACCATGATTAGGCTAACAAAGAAATATTGACTGGCATGGCTAAATTAAAGAAAAGACCTACTATAAGCTTAAGGTCTTTACTATTTTAGCCTTAAATAAAAGAAAAATAAAAAAAAACCATGTATGGCTTTACAGACAGGGATAAAATAAAGCCAGAGCAACCACAGCCGTATAATAAGCTTTTTAAAAGTCACTGCATTTTCTGAGAAAGTATATGGATCGTTCAATTAGTCTGCCATGATACAGAGACTGTCTTGGTTGGAAGCTTTTCTAGCAATTACAAACACGAAATGGCAAAGTAGCCATCTTATTAGACACCAGCATGCTGAAGGCTCCATTTTATTCCTCTGTTTTCTGTCTTAATGCTTTAAAATGTGCCGTAGCTAAAATACTTGGAAGGCCTTTGCAGACTGAAAGGTTAAGGGTCACACTGATTGCTTTCCATAAATCCTGTAATGCATCTGCTGCTAAAATTACAAATAAAAAACGTAAAAGCACAACAGGAAGACCATATACCTATTTTGGATTTTGCTTAGTAATCCAAGGGGAAAATATTTGCTCACAGCAAGATGAAAAATAAATCTATTAAATAAATACTGCTTCACAAACCTGGGATTGGCCAACAACCTCTAATCGATTGCTGTGAAATTTTATATATAAGATTTAGTTGTTATTTTAGGCAGCAGATCTAAAAGCTGTTGAATGAACACTTAGTATATTTAACAGCCTGAATTTCTGTCTCTACGTTTCTAGTTTAGTGAGTGCGTGTTTGCTATTTACAGTCATGCCAATTTGAGAATAGCCGGCAATCCTAGCATGTCAAAACTTGCACGCTTAGAATGCTTTGCATATTTGCGTGATAAATGACTTAAACAAGCATCAAAACTGTCAGTTAATTTCACCACTTAGGCGAATGCATTTATCGAGTGTAAGAGTGCAACAACAATGTGAAACTGATATTTGAACTAATCCAAGTTTACAGCAGAGGCTCCTTGCTAACAGAGAAACACTCATGTTACATGGTGTTCAACACTGAGAGGTGGCACAATGCCTTCTCTTTCCGCTGTGAGATCAACACCGCTCTTAAAGAGTAATCAGAAACTCGAAGGCTCAAGATCAGTCAATCTACACCTCAGCTACTGCTGCACCCATCCTCTCCTTTTGCACAGGAGGACTTTTGAACAAGTTTTTGTGAATTAATTTACTAAACAAAGGAAAATAAGGAGAAAAGGTTTGCTTTCAGAAGATAAAATTAATAAACTCCATGAGGACGTCACTGTCACTGACTGAAGAACTCATATTTGAGAACAGCAGAAGGAAAAATAGCTGAATAAAACGGCCAGGGTTTGGCAGAGTGGTGTTAGGAAGAACTAAGCTTATCAGATGTCTTCAGCCTGATATAAATCTCTGCTGAAGTTTAGTTGCTGAAGGTTACAAACATCTCTGACTAGCTAATAAAAAGGCTAAAACGTCACTTTGTAATAAATATTTAGTTCCCTAGCAACATTGAGCTAAAAGTAAATCATGCTTAAAGACTATGTCTCCAATCAGCAAAAACTCTGAAACTTATGTTATGATTTGCTAATTGAGTAAAAACTGAAAATGTCTCAAAGGTTTAGTTTGTTGCTCCTGATTTGTGTCTTCAAGAAACACTGTATGTGAATTTATATCAAATTGAAGATCAATACTTGCATACTTGAAATGTTAACTAGGGCTGAAATTAATCGTATTAATCTATAATTAAAATAATCGTCACATAATTTCATTTACTGATTAATAATTAACTGGAGTATAGATTAGCAACCCGCTCAGAGCAGTAAGTATATCAAAACTGTAAAATATTTTGCATAAAAAAAAAAAAAAAAAAAACTTTTGTCCATCAATAATCTCTATAATAATCTCCTTAAGTGGTAAAGTTTTATTTTCACCTGGTTTAATTTCATAAAAAAACTTCAGTCAGGATTCTTTGGCTATCCCATTACTAATCCATTAACTTCAAAATTAATTGACAGATTCATTGATTTATAAAATAATCGTTATAGGCAGCCCTTATGTTAACATTCACTAAGGTTTATATTTAGGAATATCTTCTTGGCAGGGGGATATATTCGTTCTCTACAGATCACAGCGTCTGAATGTCTCTACTGTCATAAAAATATACACCTTAATAAGGACTAATCACATCATAAGCTACTTCTGTCTCTAAATGTTCGATCTTCTATATTTTTCTGAGATTGAATGCAGGTGAATGCACTCTCACCAATAGATGCAGATTATGCAGGAAATGTTGCAACAACTTTACACACAAGCTTAAATGTCTGTGTTTTTGCACGTTAGAAATTCAATTCAAGATCAAACAATTCACATCGTAGTTTTGACACAAATTGAACAGGCCAAGCTAATGCTGGTGAAATGTTGTGACTGTGAAGGCCAGTGAATTAAATCGATTTAACCTTTGTTAAATAGAGCATTATCCTGTTTAGGGCAAGCGTCAGGAAATCGGTAAACAACAGTTATATGGAGAATGGCTGTGATGATTAAACAGTTATCAGTTGGCACTCAGAGGCCCAAGGTTTGTCATGAAAATATTCCCAATGTTTACACCAAAGGTTGACGAGACACTGGTATTTAACTTTTTTTTTGCAAACTTTCTTTGCTGCTGTGGACTGTCTGGTTCACACATTGTTGAGTATGCAATCAGTAATCGTTTAAGCATAACTTGCTAGTAGTCAGGAATAAATCGGAAGTGAAAAATGATGTGCAACTCTAGATAAAGTGCCTTAATAAACAGGGATGCTGCTATGTAATTAGCTGAATCAGCATTTGGTTAGGTCTGCGAGCATGTGTGCATAATGAAATGTGAGTTTTATTTTGTTGCTTTCCTCACCCTGTGTCTGTATGAGATGAAGGATCTTCGCAGTGACCTGTCTTGCCGTTTCTACATCTTTCAGCATGACCTCCCCATTCATCCTCTCCAGTTGGCCGAGGAGCATAAGTACCCTGGAGTTACTGGGAACACTGGTAAGAAACAGACATTTCATCTTATATTACATAAGGTTTGTCCGAGTTCATAAAATGCTGCTTCCATCTCACCTACAATATCTCCACAGTCTTAAGTAAGTTCAACTCTCATGGTCTAAGATCAGCCTAATAACAGTGGCCTCATCTGCTGACTTCAGAGGTTTTACAGATGACATCTTTACCTGTCTCCTCTGTTCCATACTTATACACTAATGCTGTCTAACAAAAACTAGCACAACTTTAAAGAAATTGACTTATTCTGGGATTAAATTACATGAGAATGGATTTGAATATCTTGTTGTCTTGTCTTCTAAGGTGTATCAAATTAAAAGGAGCCAAATACAAATGGAAGTCAGACTTTATAGACTTATTTGTAAAAGTATATATCCCTTTTCTTTCAATTTATGAATGTCTGCTGCTTTGTGGGTTGATCATATAAAATGCCAATAAAATACATAACAAAATGAGAAAATTTTAAACTGGGATTATTACATCTACAAAAAAACTATATGTCAAAAACAAAAAAACTATAAATAGAAGCAGCTTCACTGGTATCAAACACAGTTAAGGTCTGCTTTAAGATTATTTATTATTCTACTAAATCCCACTTAATGACTGTTCTCAATGGATTAGCTATTTCTGGGCTGGCTGACCTTTTTCGAATAACATGAACTTCTCTGGCACTTGTAGCAAGAGATTAGGGGTCATTTGGTAAAGCAAGGGCAAACAACCAAAAATCTAAGCTCTGATTATACCCAGTAGAGCAGGCGCTCTCATCCTTGAAAAAGAGGAGTAGAGAGACAAAAACAGAAATAGAAAGCTAGTGATCAAGACAGATAATTAAAGAAAATGTCAGGAATGACTGGAGAATGTAAAGCCTAAATGGGCAAAGAACAAAAACAGATGTAGAACCTAAATAAACCTGAGTCAGAGATGAACAAAGATTATTTTTAGTCGTGACAAATTCATATGGCTGCTTCTGAAGGCCGTGTAATTATCTCTGCAGAGTGTTCTCTGGCACAAATGTTAAAAGTCTCCCTCCCTCACATGGTCACACATAGTGCAACAATAAGATAAACAGTAGGATCAGATGCTGCTCCGAAGGGAGTCAAAAGCTAAAAGGAATAAAAGATATAACAGAGCAACATCATAAAAGTGAATCAAGAGTTACGAAGATCATAAAACAGATGTTTCTCTAAGCTTCACCCATCACTGCCTGTGTGTGTGTGTGTGTGTGTGTGTGTGTGTGTGTGTGTGTGTGTGTGTGTGTGGCTGTGCATGCATCAGCTCACCCCTTCTCTGTGGCCATTTTGGGCTTGTTCATTTTTCTCCCACGTCAAAAGGTCATGTTGTCTGCAAGAGAATGAAAAGGAAAGTCCACATTACTAAAAGAGGACAAGTCAAAACAATTTGCATCATTTGGAAACAAGCGTGATTAACCTTAACCTCCAGGGTCACATGATTTCCCACAGAACTCCAACTGGAGAAAGCCAAGCAACTATGCTGAAACCACCTGACCGTAAAGCTCAACAGCCCCTAGCTTTGAATGTACTGGTGTATAAATATTTGCAGGATTTTTCCAAAACCTGAGTAGTGTCATAAGAGAGTAAAATGTTTTGCAAAATAACATCAAATAGCATTGGACTACAACCGTCTGCCTGATAAAAATAAAATCCCTGTTTATCAGGTTCTACCTCAGCCCTGAGGCTCATGGAACAATCCTAAGTACCTCCTCTCTAAGTTTTATCATTTTATGAGAGGATTCACTTTCATTCATCTTTTTGAGTGCACTGCATCTGCATTTAAAAACACAGAACTCTTTAGTGTCATACTTTCAGTATCTAATTTAATTGATGTTATACAGAAGCCTATGTGATAATTGGTAAGATTTATATTTAGAGCAGTGGTTGTGCTTGCAAGGCTATCGAGTCAAGGAGAGATAGATTTATAGGTAAACAGACTATGATGAGTTGCTTTATTGACTGAGCCATTGCAGCACCCTGTTCCTTTTTCATTTAAATCCATTCTGTTTTCGATCTGCTTTAGTGTTTGGGACCACTGGCCTGTTGCAGGGCCATCAGACTTAAATACACCTCCAGAGAAGGAGGTTAGGAGTTCATAGTTACGTCAGAGACTTGAAAACAGGTTAGGGCCTGAACACAGCAGTTACATGTGACTTTTTAATCTCCGAACTTATTTTTTTTTCCATGTCACACTGACTGCCTATAGAGAGGCTCCGACTAGGCAGGGTGAGCAGCATTTTTTCCACTTATGTCTCTGTGCTATACACAAATTAAAACAATTTCACACATTTGACTTGGACAGATTATGAAAAGCTATAATAAAATAAAGAAATAAAAAAAATAAAAAAACGGTGCAGCTATAAAATAAAGCCCCACTAAACGAGTCTTTGAAGCATCTCAAACCAGAACAGATAGAGAATGTTTATAGGTGGGTATTAAAAATGTTATGGGAACTATGTGTGAAGAAAAGAAAAACAGCAATAAAGGCAGTGGGATAGTTTATACACTGACTGAGGGAGTGAGAGGCGATTTTTAAATACAGAAGAGGCTCCAGCCTATAACAAAGTATCCCCAATAGAGAAAGAAACCCTGTAATCACTTCTAGTCAGGTTTAAAACTGTGAAATGAAACATAGCACAGTGCCAGTGTACCATCATAGACTTAAAATTGTTTAGGAATAACTTTATTAAACCATGCCAGACTGATGGAAAGCTATGTCTGCTTTTCAAAGGGATATAGTCTCTACTTGGCATTGTATTAACAGACCTGCATATGGAGTGTAGGTCATATTTTAGGCCAGGTTTACATTACTTAGGATATATGCAGTAAACATTTTAAAATGATCTGCATTTTAATACAGATTTCTTATTCAGATGAATACACAGACTTACTTGTAGGAATCCGTTGTTGTCACCCTCAAAACAGTCTCAAGTTACAAATACATTGATCCAGGTATTTTTTTAAATATCAACTTTACATATTTACCTTACTGAGAAGCCCAACTTTAGAAGTAATATCCATGGCATGTATGTAAGGAGAAATAGCAGTGATATTTAAAGAACGATACATTTAAAGAAAAAGAGCCTGATCTGAGCTTAAAGGAATAGTACACCCAAAACATGATTAGCCTTCATTTTCTACTCACCCCATGCTGAACAACACTCTGGAGTACTTTTTTGATATCTCAAATGCATCTGGAGATCTGGGAGGCTTCTTGCTGTCTGCTGACATTCAAATAATGGAGGTCTATGGTGCCCGAGGCAGAAAGGTCCATAAAAGTCCACAAAATACGTGTCAATATTCCTCCATACTGCTCGTCCAATGTATTCCAAGTGTCCTGAGTGGGTAGCATCCAGAATTTACTCGAAACGAAGTCATTTAGAATGTTTTTAGAGCATAAACAATAAACAATGAAAGAAAAATGTCTGAGGACTTCAGTGTTGAGGAAGAGCATGAGTTCTTTGCCGAGCTGAATGCGCACTTTCGTCTGGTTTGGTCTGCCGCGGTTTCCGTAGCGTCGTGAACGCGCTTTTAGGAAATCCTATACACTACTGTTTATGCTCTAAAAGCATTCTAAATGACTTCTTTCGAGTAAATTCTGGATGCTACCCACTCAGGACACTTGGAATACATTGGACGAGCAGTATGGAGGAATATTGACACGTTTTTTGTGGACTTTTATGGACCTTTCTGTCTCGGGCACCATGGACCTCCATTATTTGAATGTCAGCAGACAGCAAGAAGCCTCCCAGATCTCCAGATGCATTTGAGATATCAAAAAGTACTCCAGAGTGTTGTTCAGCATGGGGTGAGTAGAAAATGAAGGCTAATCATGTTTTGGGTGTACTATTCCTTTAAGCAGTGTTAAAATATAGATTTGAGAGGTCCTCCAAAAACAAGTGTGGTGCATTTTTTCTTTGACATATTTAACTTTTTTTCATTTTTTGTTTAAGCAGAGTCAGGAGGAGTAAAGCTGGTCTGTGATAGCTTCGCTGTTGTGGAATTTGGAGTAGAAATATGCATATAATTAATCAAATCATGTTAAATATTCTCCAGGCATCTAATGCACACAGATAAGCCTCTAATTTAAGAAAGGATAAAAATTTTAGGATTTTCTCATCCAAAAAGGTGTTACAAAAATGTAAAACTTCAGTTACGTAGCTTATTTAAGCTGTACTAAAAAATAAAATAAACCATCAGACAAAATAAACAGATTCTGAGTGCTATTATGAAAACATTGACTGTAATTTCCATTGCCTGGCCGGTTGTATGTTGGTAAGACGACTTAAGACAAGATCAAATGTATGGCCTTATGGACAGTTATAAGCAGGAATAAAAAATTAAGAAATACATTTAGGTTTTGCACCACCTATAAGGGCTGAAAATGAAATACAGAGAAATCTGACATGTCGAAATGACCAAACTTGCTGCAGCATTTACACAGGTAACAATCTATATAGGTTAGTTACAAAGGTGAAAAGCTAACAGCTAATTTGAAAGGGACAAGGCCAAAGCAGATTTCTCCTGTCTTTAAACTGTCTGTCTTAAAAAATTGAATAATGGGAATTTGGTTTTATGCTTAAAATGTTGATATGTTTACATTAGATGGTTATTTACGGTAAACAGAAAATATTGTTTATAATGGAGTGGAGTAGATGGTGGTGCAGGAAACACTTACTGAAACCTGAAGTTTTAAAGAGTTAATGGGTAGAATAACCAACTTAAAGAAGCAAATTTTGTTAAAAAAAAATCTATTCTATTTTTTTAAATTAATCCGTTACAGTTTTTATTTTTCTATTTACCACTTTATTCTTCCAGCTAGTAGTTACCTGATTGGATACTCTTTCCATGTTTACTCCTTCTGACTCTTTTCATACTGGGAGATAACTGGTTCTCAACTGCACCCAACTGCAATTTCAAGCAAATTCAAAGCTTCTTTGTTGCTGTCGCTCAGCATTTCAAAGCATGCAGTTTAATATTATCTGCCTGCAGTGCCGAAGGATAACTTGCTTGCTTTAATATTATAGGATTAAAAAAAATAAAGAAATACACTTAAACAAGCTTGTTTTTTGTTTTTTTTCTAATGTTCTGGTATTAAAATCACATAAATATCAATTTTTGTTATCAGTATGGCATTTAATAACTATCAAAAAATGCTAGATTGGCACATCTGATTATGCAGTTTATCATCAAAAAATATTTTTGAATAATAGAGTTTATCCAATGACCTAACTTTTAACAATAACTATATTAACTCACGTTACACCTCAACAGCCTTAAGTTTGTCAACCCTTCTTGTCTGTACAGAAACAAGAAGGATGATTATTTTCATCAATTAAGATGAAAATATGTAACTGAATTACATGATATTTGATACTGGCATTACTTATTACACAGCTGATGTAATTGCACAACAGATCCCAGTGCCAATGTCTTTATCTGGGCAAGGTGGATAGTTGGGATGGTTGTGTAGAAATTGTCCAATGCAAAATTCCACCTCATCTGATATAAAGCATGGATTTTATTTTATTTTTTAATCATTCAACCATTTCTAAAACATCTCAGGGACTGTGACTGAAAGGCCCATCATCATCTGCTACTCCACCACATACAGCAAGATAATCTCTGGTTATTGACCGATACCGATATTGACCTGATACAATATCGACCCGACTCATACATACTTTAACCATTTATTTTATTTTATTTTTTTTTTTACAGTGAAAAGGTTTGATCAAGTGATATCACTCAGAGAACAGCAGCAAACAACATCAGGTATAAGAGTATTTGGCCCCTATACTATTAACCAATGGATGACATAAACTCTGAACAGCAGTGTAGAGAAGTGTAGTGTTTCTATAAACTTGCTTATATAAGATATGTTAGATGCAGGCTGATATATTCAAATATTCCATTTTTGTCTCATATTGTACCGATTTCCAATATTAATATCAGATCAGGACATCCCTAAATTTCAGATAATTGTTGCCAAAGAGAATACAATTTTAACAACAGGCCAGGCTTTTTTTTGTTTCTTTGTTGTTGTTGTTTTTTTCCAGAAAAGCCGTTAAACAGCTGACATGTTACTCATGGTTTAGGCCAAAACAGTGTCTTGATGGGATGATTTATTTTTAAGGACCTGTGTCCTGTCACGGTTTAAAATGTGAACATTTGCCCTTTTTATGCTTCAGGACGCACGGATTTATTTGTATGTGTTTATCTAAATATTTTAAAATGAATTGCTCAGCAGCAGCTTAAGGCTCCTGCACCTGCTGCTGGGCTGCTCGCTCATTATCGGGCGCCTGTGTTTCCCAGCAGGCCAGCTAACGAAGAAATAAGCTAGCGACACTGCTCAACATGAAGCACAGCCCGAGCTAAGACAGAGCAGATACTTACAATAAGGATAAAATAATAGAATTAATCAAACCTGAATTAAAAGGAGCTGCGGTCCAGCTGAAGGTGGGCCGAGTCTGACTCAGAGATAAGGCAGACAGCTACTGTTTGCCTGAAACGCCCTGCTGATGAGGTGACGAGATCAGTGGGAGACGCCGTAGCAACGCGAGAGTCGCGACTTCCTTCTGTATAGTTAGTTTTTAAGCGAAATTACGATAAATAGAAACTCCAAATGCCTCATAATGTTATTTTATAATTTGTTTTGAGATCCCACATTTAAATCTAACGAATGACGTGCAATATCGTGAGTTGGAACTTAACCGGTAGCCATATGGACTACAAATCCCAGAAATGTTTGCGACCAATGACGTGTAATTTGTGTTCCAGCTTTTACTGTGTTCGAGGGGATTAAAAAAATAAGGTATGTGCTAGTTTATAACTATTTAATGAATAACGAATAACAAAATTCGCAGTAGAGGACGTGGGAGGAACGTTGGTCGTTTGGTGCATGGCGCGTGTTTTGAAGCTGCTCTGCTTGTGGAGAAATGTCCTGGGCCGTGAGTAGTGAGGAAACAGGAAGCGATTCTTGTGGGATGGAAGAGGGAAATAGTGACAATGAAGGTTGGAAGATAGCAGCATCAAAAAATGAGAAAAAGCGGAAAAAAACAGAGATCAGTTAAAGGGGAATCTAGTTCAGAACAATCCAGTGATGATCAATCCATACATTCCACAGCACAACAAAATGAATTCAAAGTCATATTCAAAGTCGTTAATCAGGCAGACTCTTTTACAAACTGGAATCCGGTTCACTTAACAAAAACCATCAATAAACTTGTTGGAGAAGTCAGAGGTGCCAGAATTCTGTACAGTGGAGACCTGCTAATTAACTGCAGAGACAGCGCCCAGCAAGGCAAAGCAATACGTATTAACAAAATTGACGGGATAAGAGTTCAGTGCAGCCTAATGGAGAACAAAAAGATCAGCAGGGGAGTCATTGGAGGAGTTCCTCTGAAAATTTCTGAAAAAGAGATTCTGGAAAACATAAGCGGTGCAAAAGTAAAAGAAGTAAAACGGTTAAAAACAACAAGAAACGGAGAAAGATCTGACAGTTTATCTGTACTAATTAAATTCGAGGAAGAGCAATTACCAAGCAAAGTATTCATCGGTTACATCAGTTACAATGTCAAAATCTACAATCCACCACCATTGAGATGTTTCAAATGTCAAAAATTCGGACACATTGCAGCAGTTTGTAAAGGGAAACAGAGGTGTGGAAGGTGTGCAGGAGAACATGAATATGGTAAATGTGGAAAAGAAGCTAAAATAAAATGCTGTAATTGTGGTGGAGAACATACTGCTGCTTATCGCGGCTGTGAAGCAAGCAAAAGGTCTGAAGAAATAAAAAAAATGAAATTTGAGCTTGGAATAACTTATGCTGAAGCTGCAAAAAGGATCCCATCTCAGTCAGAAAAACCCAAACCTACAGTTCAACACACGGCAAATTTCAAACCTCTAGAGAAATCTCCAAAAATTGATGACGACTCACTAATTGTTAAAAAGACAAATTTTGTTCTTTTCATGGTGGAAGTGATTAATTGTACTGCTCAGACGACAAAAAAAAACAGAAAAAATCAAAATAATAGTGAAGGCTGCAGAAAAATATCTGGATGTTAAAGATATGAACTGGGAGATGGTTGGAAGCATGATGGAAAGACCAATGGGACCATCAGAAACTGGCAGAGGTACGATGACCTAGAGTAAATTAAAATTATACGGGCAAATGTAATTTAGTATAATTTAGTATTATGTGGGTTTAAGTTACACAGGTTATTTTATTGTATTTTTTTTTTTTTTTTTTTTTTTTTTTTTTTTTTTTTTTTTTTTTTTGGGGGGGGTGAATCGTTTCCTGTTTCCTTGCTTTACTCCATATCAGTTGGTGGCGGTAATGCACATTTCACAAGTTTGCCAACCGCCATAAAATCTCATAAGAAGAAGAAGAAAATTCGCAGTATTTATAGGTGCAAGGTAACGATTCATAAAATGTGAATAAATGGGGTTTGTTGTTATAGATACAGCATGGGCCGAAGTAATTTGTTTGCAAACGGTAACTGAAACTGGCTAGCTAACATTATCTTGCCTATTTACTATGTATATACCTGTCGTGCTGGATTCATTGCTTTTAGTATTGTTGATATTCTTTTAATACAGACAGAAAGCCCTAATACCCAGCTTGTACCACCTATGTGTCCGAGATATAATGATAAATACACCAATGTCTTGCTGAAAAGGTGCAATTGACTCCAATAAGATCTATACTGCGGCTATAGTATGTGGATAGTATAGTATATGCAAAGTTGTAAAGCTATTGTGTTAGTTTAAAGTTGCTAGTGTTGAAATATTCCTCCCATTTGTCGATTTAACGACGTCGAGTGCTCGGTTTCGGTGAGTTTTTAGGGTGAAGTTGATGATTCATTTGAAATACTATAGGATATATATTTTTTTTACTATTTTTCAAGGCTGCACTTCAAAAAGAAAATGTCCAGAGAGCAGTTCTAAGTGAAATTTATTTTTGTTGTACACTTGTGTAAACAAAATGACAGATAAATATGTCTAAGTCTAAGGATATCACTATTCATTGTCTCTAAATTAATCAAATAAAAGTTGATGCTCTAAGTAATGGTTTGTAGGGGGCTGCATGTCCCTGCAGTCAAAGTCCCCCAATCACAAATATTGCTTAAAAAAACAAACAAAATCCACAAACAACATCTTTCAGAATATTGAATAATCTAACTTTTAACATCAGTAACAGTAAGTAAGTGCTGTTGATGATTGCAATTGCTCAACAGCAAACAATGACTTTATTAAAATGTATTTGTAAACCTAATACGTAATATTCTTTGTGGACATATCTGTAGATATCTTTTCTCTTTTTTGATTGACTAGTGTTATTGCAATACTCAAAACTGTATTTTAGTATTTATTAGTTTTAAGCCATAATCAGTAACATAAAAGCAGTAAAAGCTTGAAATTAAGTGATTCTATTCATATATTTAAAGTATTCTGATTGATTTAGATGATCCTTCACATTTTTTATATTGGTTCTATTGGTTATGAACTAAGAGAACTCCTTGAATTAATTGATGGAGGAGAAGGAGAAGAACATTCAGATCTCCCAGGTTGTCTAAATCTTTGCATCTCTCTTATTTTCATTGTCAGTCATCATGGTGATGAAGTCAGCAGTTGAGGATGATGATTCTGGCTGGGTGCTGGGCATACCGGAAAAGATGAAGAACAATGCAAACTGGGTTGATATCACCCATGAGTTTAAGGGTGCTTGTAAAGGTAAAATGTTTAAATCTAATTATTTAACTGTTCTGGATAATCTACAATGTATCCTGATGATCAAATTCATGTTCTTTTCCTTTATTTTCGCAGAGCTGAACCTCGGAGAATTGCTTCATGATAAACTGTAAGCATAAAGAAAACAATTATATTATATTGCTTCACAACTCAAAAAGAACAATCCTCCAAATTAAAGTTGACAGCACTGAAATTAGTATTTGTTGTTTGTTTTCATGTTATTTTAAAATTGCTAAATTCTTCAGAAAGCAGACAAAGTGATTTTTTTTTTTCTTATGCAGGTTTGGCTTATTTGAGGCTATGTCTGCTATCGAGATGATGGATCCTAAAATGGATGCAGGGATGATTGGAAACCAGGTCAACAGGAAGGTGCTTAATTTTGAACAAGCAATTAAGGTACAGCAGTAGAAAAAAAGACGGATTGTCTACTACTCAGCTAATATATGTACATAATAAGCTTTTTTTTAATCCTTGATTTAACTGTTTGACTTCCATTCCAGGAGGGTGCCATCAAGGTGAAAGATCTAAGTTTGCCTGAACTCATCGGAATCATTGACACTTGTTTCTGTTGTTTGGTGAGGAGTTTTTATTTATTATTTTCTGTTAGGTTGCCTCTTTTAAATTCCAGTGAGGTAACCTTTAACTAAACAGTTTTTGCCTAAAAGAACTCCCACTTGACAATTTTAATAATGCAGAACTTTATAGCAATGTGTTTGAACTGTTTTTTATAACTGTAATAATCATAAATTATATATTTCTAGTGTATTTTGTTAGTTTGTTTTTAGTGGGGTTTTTTTGTTTGTTTGTTTTTTTGACAAGGGAGCGTCATATTTTTGTTGATTAATTTCCTAAATTGTTTGGAATTACACTTGTCGATCCTAACCCAGTAATATTTGGTTACAATAACCTACAGCAACACCTATACTGTATGGTCCACGTCATTTTTGTAGCCATCAGTAAATCTGGTACAGTTCTGCTTGGACTTTTGACTCTTGAGCTCAGTATTGATGGAGC